GAGTATCGAGGATGGTTCTAGGAGTGTAGAGAGTGATAGTGATCGTAACCCATGGAGTATCGAGGATGGTTCTAGGAGTGTATAGAAGGACAGTGATAGTAACCCCTGGAGTATCGAGGATGGTTCTAGGAGTGTATAGAAGGACAGTGATAGTAACCCTTGAAGTATCGAGGATGGTTCTAGGAGTGTATAGAAGGACAGTGATGGTAACCCCTGGAGTATCGAGGATGGTACCAGGGGTGTAGAGAGTGATAGTGATAGTAACCCCTTGAGTATCGAGGATGGTTCCAGGGGTGTAGAGAGTGATAGTGATGGTAACCCCTGAAGTATCGAGGTTGGTTCCAGGGGTGTAGAGAGTGATAGTGATCGTAACCCCTGGAGTATCGAGGATGGTTCCAGGGATGTCGAGAGTGATAGTGATCGTAACCCCTGGAGTATCGAGGATGGTACCAGGGGTGTAGAGAGTGATAGTGATAGTAACCCCTTGAGTATCGAGGATGGTTCCAGGGGTGTAGAGAGTGATAGTGATGGTAACCCCTGGAGTATCGAGGATGGTTCCAGGGGTGTAGAGAGTGATAGTGATCGTAACCCCTGGAGTATCGAGGATGGTTCTAGGACTGTAGAGAAGGACAGTGATAGTAACCCCTGGAGTATCAAGGATGGTTCCGGGGGGATAGAGAGTGATAGTGATCGTAACCCATGGTGTATCGAGGATGGTTCCAGGGATGTAGAGAGCGACAGTGATCGTAACCCCTGGAGTATCGATGATGGTACCGGGGGTGTAGAGAGCGACAGTGATCGTAACCCCTGGAGTATCGAGGATGGTTCCAGGGATGTCGAGAGTGATAGTGATCGTAACCCCTGGAGTATCGAGGATGGTTCCAGGGGTGTAGAGAGTGATAGTGATGGTAACCCCTGGAGTATCGAGGATGGAGGGCTATGAGTGACAGTGATCTAGGAGTGTATAGAGAGTGAAAGTGAGTAACCCCTGGAGTATCGAGGATGGTTCTAGGGGTGTAGAGAGTGAAAGTGATCATAACCCTGGAGTATCGAGGATGGTTCTAGGAGTGTAGAGAAGGACAGTGATAGTAACCCCTGAAGGATTGAGGATGGTTCTAGGAGTGTATAGAAGGACAGTGATAGTAACCCCTGGAGTATCGAGGATGGTTCTAGGAGTGTATAGAAGGACAGTGATAGTAACCCCTGGAGTATCGAGGATGGCTCCAGGAGTGTAGAGAGTGATAGTGATGGTAACCCCTGGAGTATCGAGGATGGTTCTCGGAGTGTATAGAAGGACAGTGATAGTAACCGCTGGAGTATCGAGGATGGCTCCAGGAGTGTAGAGAGTGATAGTGATGGTAACCCCTGGAGTATTGGGGGTGTAGAGAGTGATAGTGATGGTAACCCCTCGAGTAACGAGGGGTGTAGAGAGTGACAGTGATGGTAACCCCTGAAGTATCCAGGTTGGTTCCAGGGGTGTAGAGAGTGAAAGTGATCATAACCAGTGGAGAATCGAGGATGGTTCTAGGAGTGTAGAGAGTGATAGTGATTGTAACCCCTGGAGTATCGAGGATAGTTCAAGGAGTGTAGAGGGAGACAGTGATCGTAACCCCTGGAGTATCGAGGATGGTTCTAGGAGTGTAGAGAAGGACAGTGATAGTAACCTCTGGAGTATCGAGGATGGTTCTAGGAGTGTATAGAAGGACAGTGATAGTAACCCCTGGAGTATCGAGGATGGTTCTAGGAGTGTATAGAAGGACAGTGATAGTAACCCCTAATGTATAGAGGATGGTTCTAGGAGTGTATAGGATGACAGTGATAGTAACCCCTGGAGTATCGAGATGGTTCTAGGAGTATAGAAGGACAGTGATAGTAACCCCTGGAGTATCGAGGATGGTTCTAGGAGTGTATAGAAGGACAGTGATAGTAACCCCTGGAGTATCGAGGATGGTTCTAGGAGTGTATAGAAGGACAGTGATAGTAACCCCTGGAGTATCGAGGATGGTTCTAGGAGTGTATAGGACAGTGATAGTTCCCCCTAGAGTATCGAGGATGGTTCTAGGAGTGTATAGAAGGACAGTGATAGTAACCCCTGGAGTATCGAGGATGGTTCTAGGAGTGTATAGAAGGACAGTGATAGTAAACCCTGGAGTATCGAGGATGGTTCTAGGAGTGTATAGAAGGACAGTGATAGTAACCCCTAATGTATAGAGGATGGTTCTAGGAGTGTATAGAAGGACAGTGATAGTAACCCCTGGAGTATCGAGGATGGTTCTAGGAGTGTATAGAAGGACAGTGATAGTAACCCCTGGAGTATCGAGGATGGTTCTAGGAGTGTATAGAAGGACAGTGACAGTAACCGCTGGAGTATCAAAGATGGTTCCAGAGGTGTAGAGAGTGATAGTGATGGTAACCCCTGGAGTATCGAGGATGGTTCTAGGAGTGTATAGAAGGACAGTGATAGTAACCCCTGGAGTATCGAGGATAGTTCTAGGAGTGTATAGAAGGACAGTGATAGTAAACCCTGGAGTATCAAGGATGGTTCTAGGAGTGTAGAGAAGGACAGTGATAGTAACCCCTGGAGTATCAAGGATGGTTCTAGGAGTGTAGAGAAGGACAGTGATAGTAACCCCTGGAGTATCAAGGATGGTTCCAGGGGTTTCGACAAAAATGACAAAAAAATAACATTCGTTTGCAGAAATAGCGATGATAATCCTTTCCTGCCAAATCCAAGATGTTCACCTGGAAGTCATTTTGTTTTTTCTGATCAGCCCTAAAATTAAACTGGCACAAGTTGAGATGAAAGGGGAACATATGTATGAAATATTTTTCTGGTCGATCCCAAACTCAAAAATGCCTCGAAAAAGGCACAAAGAGGAACGTAAACATGAAATTTGAGAAAAGTCGGTAAGTATTTCTCCAACAAATGGCGATAATAAACGTTGGTGGTCAAAATCAAAGATGCCGCCAGTTGGCCATTTTCTTTTCCAGACCAATATCAAAATCAAATGGGAGTAAACAGGGACCAAGGGACCCCCTACACTTGAAATTTGAGAAAGATCTATGCATTACTTCTCTAGAAATGTTGATAAAACTTTCAAGCTGATAAGAGATCCCAGTGGAAATTTGGCGCCCACCATTGTTTGATCTTTATTTGCTCTTTGAAAGTTGGATCATTTCCGTTTCTTTTTATTTTTGCTCTTAATGATAAGACATTCGAACATTCCTTTGCAGAAAATGGCGATGATAATCTTTACCTACCAAATCCAAGATGGTCGCCCGAAAGCCATTTTTTCTTGTAATTCCCTAACTGCAACATGCACAACTAGGGACAAAGAGGAACCTATACATGAAATTCAAGAAATATCTATGTACTTCTCAAGAAGCAGTGATAAATTTTCTAAATCAAAATCAAAGATGGCTGCCTGTTAGCCATTTTCTCTTCCTGATCAGTACCAAAATCAAACAGGCACAACTATTCATCAAGGGAGGCATGAAATGAGAAAAATCTATGCTGTTGTTCTTAATAACAAACTTTCTAAATCATAGTCCAAAATGGCTGCCTGTTGGTTGTAAACTCACTAAAGTTTCGAGGGACAAATGGTAAAATAATGTATTTTTAGTTTTCATGAAGATCTTATTGGGAACTTTTTTATTTCATTGTGGCGTTGGGAGTATTTGATGTTTGTATCGTGTTTGATATTTGTTAGTATACCTGTTGGTTCCGTTGTTGTGTATTTGTTAGTATACCTGTTGGTTCCGTTGTTGTGTATCGTGTTTGGTATTTGTTAGTATACCTGTTGGTTCCGTTGTTGTGTATCGTGTTTGGTATTTGTTAGTATACCTGTTGGTTCCATTGTTGTGTATCGTGTTTGGTATTTGTTAGTATACCTGTTGGTTCCGTTGTTGTGTATCGTGTTTGATATTTGTTAGTACTAGTGTATAATCGGATAAATTTTGCAACTTTTTATTTAAACTTCTGAAATACCGAAAGGTGTAGAGATATCATATTTGGCTGGAAGGCCTAGAATCATTATATATGACGGGAAGGTTCCTTTGATGAAGCCCAACAAAGTTTGCAAAAAGAAATGACCCTGACCCATATTCAAGGTCACAGAGGTCAAATATGTTAAAACCTTTAAACTTCTTCCAAAATACCGGGGGGACTAGACTCATTATATATGGCTGGAAGTTTCCTTTGATGAAGCCCAACAAAGTTTGCAAAAAGAAATTGCCTTGACCCATATTCAAGGTCACAGAGGTCAAATGTGTTGAAACCTTTATACGACTTCTTCCAAAATACCGTCAGGCCTAGAATCATTTTATTTAAGCTACTATGGTCCTCATATGGTGCCCTACAATCTTTCAAGGTCACAGGGGTCAAAGGTGTTAAACGTGGAACATATGCTCAAATATACTAATGTTGGTCATACAGATCCAGGTGAGCGATACAGGCCCTCTTGTTTAAGATTAATTAAAATTGTAGCAAGATCTTTTGTAAGATTTTCAACAAAGTTGACATATCAAAGTTTGACTTGGTAGGAGGTTCGTTCCAATCTTCTTTCAAAAATCTGAAATACTTCGGATTTAGTTTTACCCCGGGATGTGGATATAACTCCGGGATAGCCCCATGCACATCTCTCTGATGTCACCGGTACTGTCTGCCATTTTTAAACAAACAAGATGGAGGCGTCAACATGTGCTTTTTAGTGTGGGCGCGTTCGATTACCACTCCAACTGTCCAAGGGTGCTTTCGTCAGAGATTATAAATTTGAGGAAGATTCCAGTTCTTTTCAATTGTAATTTCAAAAGCAAAGATCCCCCCATCCTGCAAAATAGAAACCATGAATAGGACTTCCTCTCAATTTCATGTCTTAGGGTATCAAATTTTCTGCCAGTTTCGGTCCATCCTGAAAATAAAGCAGACCTACCACCAACATGTAGCATCTTCAGTAAATGCTACAAGAATGTGGTTCAACTTGAATTTATAATGCAAAGACTTCTTTTTTATTTTCATTTTTTTAATTCCTTCACACAATTTTAAAGTCTGACTGATGAGATGTTCACTTGTCCAGCCAACCAATCACGCATCCCAAACCAATAGATTTGTTTCGAATGACCACCATAAGACGAGGTCTATAGTCAAAACTAATAACCTGTCCGCCCAGTGTTGGCGTACACGTCAGTGAGTCGTCTTCTTCATACTTCTCTCCTGTATGTGCCCGGTGCTGTTTCTTATTCAACCATAGACTCCACAGATGGTGAATCACAATGTGTTGTTGCTGCTGCTATTATATTGTTGCTGTTGTTGCCTTGGTGACCCGATGAGGGTTAAGTTTCAAGTTGAAATTTACCTATTGGCAAGCTTGAACCATCAACTGTGATAGGGGTGTGATGTCTGATCCATCTGAGAGGGTTCACACAATCAACACAATTCTTCATCATCATCATCGTCTTCATAATCATCATAATTTTAAACACAAGTGGTAACTTCTGTTCAAAGGGTTGTCACAGGTGATGGTCTGCAGATGGAGGCAAGCTGGCCAATTATGTGAAGGGGAGTGATGGAGTTGATCTACTTCGACCTGCAAGAAAACAAGGTGTACAGGTTAGTTAAAACTTGATGTACCATTATTCCCTAGAATTCTCATTACTTTGATGTCAATCATTTGAAACAGCAGAAACTATTTGGGACTTTTTTGGACTCAAACAAGTGGTCACAATTTCCAAAGTCTTTCACCAAAAATTTTGCCACACTCAATAATTTTTGGCTAAACAATAAATTCAGGAGCCAAATAGGATAGGGTCAAAACCCATGTTTAAACAAGATTAAACAATCATGCAATATGCAATGAATAAACTGTCTTCAGTTTCATTAAGGTATTAAACATACTAGGTAGCTGAAGAAAAAATTGAGCAAAGCCACAATTGGCCCGGTTGCGGGATGAGTGCAATGTTACATATCGTGCTTAAAACAACATCTCAACCAATGAGAGACAAAGGCTGTCATCTTGGTTCCAAAGCCCAGAAAAATGTCTGGAATGAATCCATATTAGGAGGTGCACATCTTCAACATATATATAAACATCATACAAAGAGTTTAATGGTTCTACATCAAAAACTCTAGGAGTTGATTTTACAAAACTGGTACCCCTTTTCCCTGCCCGCCCTGCTGGCATTTGCCATACTATAACCCAGATTTGCACTATGTGCAACCCGGCCAAAAATCATACCTGGTAGTATTATCATGTACAAGTAATTCATATTTTGTGAAAATGTCCAGAAGTGAACATTTTGTAACCAAATAAATTGAGTCCTGACACCAGGATATATTTAAATGGGAATAAGAACAGCAGTATGGAAAGGAGCAAGCTAACCACAACAGATCCCAGAGGGATCTTGGCACCCATCATTTTTTCTAATCTTTATATGCTCATTGAAAGTTGAAGCTTTTCCCCTCACTGTTTTTGTTCTTAGTGATAGGACGTTTAAAATTCCTTTTGCAGAAATAGCAATGATAATCTTTGCTTGCATAATCCAAAATGGCTATCTGGAAGCCATTTTGTTTCTTCTGATCAGTCCCAAAATCAAACGAGCACAAGGAGAGACCAAAGGGAACATACATATGAAATCCATTCAGTACTTCTTAGGATATAGCAATAACAATCTTTACTAGGTAAAAACAAAGATGACAGGACAGCTTAATCAACATGTGTTTTCATCATTATTTTAAAGTACTTTATTTTTAAAGATTTATCAGAAAGAATGTTCTTTTGTTAAACTCTGAAGTAATATATAAATATTGGGTAAAATTTAAGAAGCAAAAGGACAAGATAAGAAATATTTAATCAATTTTTGTGAAGAATTATATAAACAAAGATAAATGATCCATTAATGTATACCGATCAATAATTTATAGATATTTGAAAATATTTTCTAAGAATGATTTCAGCTTAAAGTGGAAAAATATATAATAAAAAATAAACTATCATTTAAATATTTTTACAGCTAAAAGAAGATTCATTATTGGCGGAGTTATTGATACTGCTTAACTTATATCTATTTTATGGGGCATTTAACATTCTTTACGATCTATGCTGAAATGGTGTGGATTTTTCATACCAATTTTGGGTCTTTTTGTACAATGTACCAGATGTGTATTTCCTCATCCTCACAAAAGTATATTGAAGATGGCCAAACTGTTTTGTTTTGAATTGATGGTCCCTTATTATAATCAAAGAATAATGATTATTAACAACAAGAGTGTATAGAGATAGCCTGAGGGTGCAAACACCTGAACCTGACCCTTCTCACCTGCGACACAAGCTGAAGGAAATGGCATTAATTACACCCCTTTGAGTACATAATGAATCCTGCGTCCATGTTTCTGGAGGTAGGGCTTGCATGGCCAAGATTGGCAATTTTAGTCATTGGGTCAGTGAAATATCAGTGCATGTGGCAATTTCACCAATGCAATTTTTGAATCGCCAAAACGTTTTCATTTTTGTCATTGGCACTGATGACGACAGACAGCACGAACCCTTGAATGATTTTTTCAATTGGAAAATAGACATTTTAAAACTATTTGGGGTTGGATCCATTTTGGTTATACATAATTTCCTGTTAGTCAATAAGCACGATTTTGGCGGATATGGAGGAAAAATATCTATCAAATGACTGAATTGGAACTGTAAAATCAAGTGCACTTTCGTGCAAGCAGTTGAAACAGTTGGAGTGGTTGAAACAGCATGAAAAATGTCAGGTAGAGATTGGGTTAGAGGCTGCACTAAGAATATTTTGCATGTCGAGTCCAGTCGTACTCGTCTGATGAATATCATTAGTTTTCAGAATAGTAGCATTAAAAGTAGTGTTGGTACACCTACATATTGCCAGAAGCATTGTGATAGGAGTGAAATGGCATCTAATTTTACTTAATTAGACTGGACAGAAAATTTTGAGCTTAACATATATCAGGTCTAACGTCCTGTACAAGTGCAATTCGTGTTGAGTGGAATAATTTGTGACCATATGAACAGTTTAACCGGGTTATGCACAGCCATAATATACTTTTAAGATCACTTGTGTCTTTGACATTGTTTTAAACGTGCTAGAGTTTGCTTTTTTTGTATGGTTAAAATCAGCAGTCTATGCGAGATTCTTGCATAGTAACGACAATTGTAAAATATGCTGGAAAGTAAAGGTGTAAAGGAAAACGAGCGGAAATACTTGCTTTACAAACATTTGTTTCGATACATATGCAAATTAGGAGAAAAAGGTTTAATCTTACCATCAATATATGATTTAAGACTATTGCACTCAGGGTTTTCCGTAAGAGCCGGTGGGCGGCCAATTTGACCGGCTACTTTGATCATTTGGCCGCCTACAGCAATCCAGTTCCGTACACGACTACACGTACACGGCAGGCCAGCCTCCTACTTTCACTACACAGCCTACTAACTACGAACAAAATTATGGAAAACCCTGTGCACTGTTGCAAACAGTCTGGATGTCAACCCTTGACAGGATTGCTAGCATTGGAGTTTTAATCAAGGAAAAGTTCCGAGCGGAAATACTTGCTTTACAAACAAAAGTTCTGACTTTTGGTCTATGACTAAGACTAAATAAACTTGCGGACAGATTGTCTGAACCTTTTGAACCAACACAAACTCCAGTAAATTTTAATTAAATGCCATCGCAAAATTTTAGGAAACGACGGAGAAATAGAAACAAGATAAACGGCAGGAACCTATGAATAATACACAGCAATATGTCCCCAACCCACTTCGTTTGAGGGAAATTAATATGCTTTCACCACCCTGAATTACAAGATCCATATTTTTCATGAATTTCTGGGTGAATGAAAATAAATGAACATCGAGAAATTTAATATTTACCTAGCCCTCATCTTCCTCCTTTTACGCTTCAGTCTCCTCATGCGCTTCTTTCTCCACTGCAATAGCAAAACAAGCGCATGGTTAAATTTGAAGATACACAAATTCTGACAATTACACGGTCAACACCTGATGATTCTCTTTCACCTTCATGTGGGATAACTTAATTTTACTCTAGATTAGGCAATGGACTTAACGGCAGGCATGGTTTCGTTTATTAGGACAAGATTTTTTTTCAAGGGGATTGGGTTGGTATATAATATAAAAAAGACCGAATATAAGGTTGCAATATATTTTAGATCTGAATTCATCAACTAAAAGAGAAGTTTTCATGTACACACGTGGACCGTGCACGCTTAGTAGCAACTCGAATGCGTGACCACATACCAATCATTATCACTTAATTTATACGTACCTTAGCCCTCATCTTGTCTTGTTAGGACTGAAACGAATAAACAAATGTATCATTAATAAAAGTAAACACTGTCATAATTAACATTACGTTTTAAAATGAGGATTTCATTGGATTTATGTTCCACTTAAACTGACATACATCTTCTTACCTTTCAAGACAAACTGAAAAGAGGAAACGGAAGTGAATATATACTCTCTAATAACGTGCATATTATAGTAATTTTAAACAAAGTCACTAATATGTGCGTTTTTCTATCATGTTGAAATATTTCACACTAAACACTTGATATAGTGAATTATCGACATGATCATGTTTTTCACATTTTAGTTTAGAGAGTACGTGTTGCAAAAATGGCGGCGCCCGGTGGCCAAAACCCGGCTACAATGCCATCGTCAGGCGTCTTGTCAAGCCACGCAGAGCCAATTATTCCAAAGTCTGATGTATCGGATAAGCAAACATTGCTAGCAGTGCTGCAGTTTTTGAAGAAAAATAATTTAAAGGTATAAGCCAGTTAATTACTGCTTAGTGACATTCCAAATCAATATTGGTTTAAACGATGTTTTATTTTCAAATTTTCATTTACAACATACACATACACAAATTATAAAATTGAAAATCAGTATTGCAAAGGTGTTAACTGTTAATAGGGTCCGCTATTCAAGACCTTTTTATAGTGGCTATAGCCTTTTTGCTTATGAGTTTCTATTTCAAATGATCCCACATTTCAGTAATTACTCAAACCAGTCAACTGTACCGCAAATACAGGACTAATATGAAGTAAGCACTGCCTAAAAACGAGCGCAAGTTGGTCAAGAAAGTGCACATTTTGAACAGCCTGATCCATGTTTGCACTGAAGCGTGTTTTTTTTTTTAATTTGTTGTATATTTCGCAAGATTTGAACAAAATATCGACACATACAAATGTACCAATATATCAGCAGCAGCAGCAACACATCTTCTTCTAGAAAACATTGTATCACCATGATCAGACGGTGGTTTGGTGGCACAGTTGTAACACACTTGTCTATCACTTAGCCATTCGGGGTTCGATTCCCCGAAGGGATAGAAAAGATACAGGTTTCCTCCCAAAGTTAGACCCCTCTCTTGCTTACAACAAGTGTGATTTTTATAAGTTGAAACAGAGTTGAAATAACAAACTTTCCATATGTAAGTAAGTCATGCACATACAATCATACACCATGAAGGCAGACAAAGAAGAACAAAACAAAGGATGACAAAATAACACAAAATGTGACACTTTCCCTTCGCGAAGCTGTTTAAATGAAAAACACACAACAATATTTATGTGACGCACTCGCCTTTCACCTAGCCGACCCGATTCCCGGAACTGGACGTGAAAAGGTAAGGGGTCACCTGCCCGACCACGTGGGTTTTCCCCGGGTTACAATGAACCCCTCGCGCGCTTAACACACAACTTGTTTCGCAATTGTTGTAAAATAAATAAAGTTTATATAATTATATAATATTAAAACAAGTTAATTTCTATTTGTTATTTCTAATTGTTCCATACAAAGTATTGAAATGGAGAACTACTAGAGTACTAGCTTGATACCTGTACAAAGTATTGAAATAGAGAACTTCTACTAGAGTACTAGCTTGATGCCTGTACAATGTTTTGAGTATCGGGTAATTACCTTGAATGGTTTAAGATAACTGGTTTGGAAAAAAGTTTTGTGGTTTGGCCTATGTTTCCATGGTATCAGAAAAAGCATTTAAATGGCAATCTTCCCCATAACAAAAGAGACTACTAGCTTATTAAGTGTAAACAGTTTTGAGCAATTACCTTGTCAGAGTATTGGCCCAGAAAAACTGAAATTTTGATGAGGGTCATCGGTTTCAATGGTAACAATAAATGTATTAAGAAAGTCACTGACAACATATCTAGACTATAACAATTGATAAAAATGATCTTCAAAATAAATGCAAAAGAGTTTCCCTTTTAGAGTTACAGATATTGCAGAGAGGACTTTCTATCATCTTTGCTTTAAAAAAAGAAAGGATTTTGTCAAAATATGGTGAAAGACAATATATTATAGTTTTAGTCGGATTGGTAAAGGTGGTGCTTATATATTTAACAAGTTTTCATTATTAAAATCACAATGTTCTCTCCCGCCGTTTTCTTTTCTCTTTGCTATTGAGAGTTTTCGTTCTGTTCATGAACAAATCATACAATGCTTCAGAACCTTCGGTTTTTTAAGCAATTTGAACTTGTCCTGGTAGCAAAAAGAGGGTAAAGTTATAAACTTTGTTGAGACTATTCTGTTATACATTGTAATTAAGAAAATCAATATTAATATATATGTTTAAATAAAATTAAAAAAATCAAAAAAAATCACCACTAATAGTTTTTTTATCATTGTGCCTTATAAGTGTTTGCTGGAAATTTTCTAAACATTCAAATACATGATCATAATTAGTTATCGAAAGAACATCCTCATCTTGCAGAATTAATATAGTTAGGAGATGGGCGAGTTTTTCGTCAAATTGGGACCTTACATCACTTTCCGTGAACAAGAAACACATCGTCTCGTTCACTGAAAGTGACGAAAGGTCCCAAACATTAAACCGAATATCAGGTACATCGGAGCACAATGGAGCTCAAATCTTAAATGGTTAAAATTGCAATTTTTCAACGAGATATTTGTTATATACGTTTCAAACCATTAAAGTATATGTTTGTTAAATTCATCTGAATTATTGAAGACTTTTAGTATGATTTTATTTCTACATGAGAGCTTAAAACGATATTTTGTTGGTCAAAATAATTTTTAATCCATTCAACGGGTCGGCAGTTCTCATTGCGTGCTGCGGCAAGTGTATTGTGGGTAATGAAGTTCCTGCCACACTTCCGTTTAAAGTTGATCGTATGGGCAGGTTGTTGGAGTTGAATTATCACACACACACAATACCATAAAGCGCTCGCTATTACCCGTATGCGACACAGAGGGGCATAATTGAATCTTACCGAGGAATCCAGAAAGGGGATAGGTCGGCCTGTGCTTACACCAACTACAGACTAGAATGGGGGTTGTGAAGCCATTAATTATTAAATATTATATTTATTAAAAGGTTAGCGTCTACTATTACGGCATCTCAACAGACTATTGAAGATTTGGGTTGATAAGATTAAATGATAACTTGATAACTGTACCATATATAGCAGTTTTGATTTGTGGAGACCATTCTCAGGTGGTTTGTGTTTCTCAGGGACTGGTCTATGCTGACAAGGATGGGTCTTTAGCAAGACTCTGTACCCAAATTGCTCTGGATGGCGAGTGATGGGTCTCCCATATGTTTACAATGAGGTAGCCACCAGTTTCAAAATGACTGTGGTTGTTTACAGGTGAGAAATGAACAATCAAACATGTAAATCTAACAAAAAGGATTTTTTATGATTGGTAGGATACTGAGGAGTTACTAAAGCGTGAGGCCGGGATAAAAGATGATGAAGTCACACCTCATTCAACTACAGCAAGTGAAAGTGATGTTTCTCATGCCCTGGCTGCTTACAAAAGGTAAATTCCCTAAATCATAAAATATCTTGGTCATGCTTACCTATATATTTCCTGTTTTATTTTATATACTCTGTTTCATTGTCCATTCTTTAATCACTTTCAAACTTAAGTCATAAAATTTTATAATATAATTTTGCCGGCGTTGAGCTTGGTAATCATTAATTACCCTTGTTTCATTTGTTTTACAGTTCTGATGACCCTAGTCTGTATAGTGACTACTATACTGACCTAAAATCTTTCATTGATAGCTGTCTTGATGTCCACAAGGTATGTATGTCCGATACTCTGTAGTGACTACTATACTGACCTAAAATCTTTCATTGATAGCTGTCTTGATGTCCACAAGGTATGTTTGTCCGATACTCTGTAGTGACTACTATACTGACCTAAAATCATGTAATTACGATCATTTACAATTTTTATGTAATCAACAGTAATTAGTAATTGAAGACTTGAATTACTTGACAATTATAATTGGTTGCAGAAAAAGTTTGCTTTGTAATTGTAATTACATTTCGATTAATTTCCTATTACGTTTTTTTTTCTTGCATGAAAACAGTTTGACGAAATGATGTGTATATATTTCTATGATGGCATATTCAGTAGTCAAGGAGTGTTCATGTTGTCTTAGTCTGCTCTATTGCCTGTTTTTCTGGAGCCGGTGTCTTCTCACTTAGCCAACATTTTGATTTTTGTTGTATACAGGTAAGGTATTTTGTTGGCCAGGTGAGACTAGGTGTGAAAGGTAGAACAATAGGAGATAATTACGGGTAAGGCTATAGACTGCTTCATAAAACTTCCTACTTTCAAGAGAAAAATAAGTGGATATTTAAGAATTACATGTATTTTTATTTCACATTGAATGCATTTACAGTATTAACTTACTTACGTACCCTATTTATAAGAAACATTGCTACTGTTTTAAATTAAAGAAAAACATAGGAATATAAGAAAGAACACACATAGCTGCTATTTTTCAATAACAGAATCATAGAAAAACAGGAATATTAGAAAGTATGCACATAGCTACTATTTTTCAATTATAGAATCATAGAAAAACATAGGAATATCATAAAGTACACATATAGCTACTATTTTTCAACTATTTCAATTATTTATGTACACTATATAATAGATGAAGGTAAAAGGTATTCCCATACAAAAGGAAACTAATTAATTCAATTCGGTGCTAGAATTTTTTTTTTTTCACCGCAGAATTTTTCATAACTGATATTTCTTTTTCGATGCAACACATGCAGTTTATTTCACTATTTTACTGTAAATACAGTAGATGGGAAGCAGCATCAGCACAACCGACCACATCAATATGTCCATTTCTATACTGGTTCTTTAATTGACTAAGGCGAGAGTCTTTGTGGCAGTATTTCCTCTTCTTTGATCTTGGTTTACCTCCGGTCGAAAGTTGGATCATTTTTGCTTCATCGGTAGTCTTAATTTTCTTCAGAAGCTGAACATCCGCAAAGATGTTCGGGTGCGCATGCTGACAGATGCATTGCCATCCCTCAACATGATTTGTTGTCCATGGGCCATGCCGGCACGGTGTCTGTACACATCTCCAATAAAACTCTATCATTACGTCTGGTCCTGACGGAAATCTTATAGCCTGCATGAAGAAGATAGTATCCACCCCTTCCATTTTCTATGAAGCTGATGTTAACCTGTGTATTATCTATCATGGAATATGAACGATTGGAAAATATGAAAATTAGCTCAAGACCTTTGATATGTTTTGTTTTAATTCCAACCCACCCAAGCCAAGAAGAAATGGTAACACCCATCCAAGCTTTAATGTCTTCTTTCATCACATCCATGTTTTAATTAATATGAGTTACAACAACACTATATATTAGGTAAACATTTAGGTACACAATTACCATTATTTCACTAATGGACTAAGAAATCATAAAACAACATTTAAGCAATTGATGTTAACAATATATAATTATATTTAACAACTCTATCAATTATGTAAGTGTATAACAGAAGACACAACAACATCTGAAAGGATATATATTTTAGAATTATTGGTAGCACGGAATAGATTTTTTGCGTTTTCAGTTCTAAATCTGTCATTTTGAAGAAAAAAAAATATTGATTAAAACACTTGTAAATACATTACTTATTGATATCACAATTTAAACTCTTGAGATTAAGATTTTAGAATATATTACATAACGCATGTAGATTTTGGTACATATATATTAAGTAATTGCAGCAAACATTTAAGACTTAAATATGATATCCTACATGAACTGATTTAAATACATATTTTATAAATCATATTCAGCTTGTCGTTTTTATATTTTCTGTCAAGGAATGTAGGAACAGACTATTACTGAAAATCACTCAGGTGTAAAATTTGACATGTTGGCCAGGTAGTACAGGTAAATTTCAGAATGCTGGCTATGTGAGAATGAACCCTAGAGCCTTCATTGAGTAGTTCACACATCAGATCATACATATGCAGAGTTTTCCATAAGGGCCGGTCGCCGGCCAATTTGACCGGCTACTTTGATCATTTGGCCGCCTACACCAACCCAGTTCCGTAATAATGTTCCGTACACGACTACACGTACACGGCAGGCCAGCCTCCTACTTTCACTACACAGCCTACTACTAACAGAATTATGGAAAACCCTGCATATGAATTAAGATGTAAGGATGGAGGGAACATTTTGATATTCCTTAAAACTTTAAATCTTCAGGATAATTAGTGATAATATAATTGTTGTGTTTGTAGGTGGAGCTTGCCGTGATCTCGTATAAAGTCATTAGTGATAATATAATTGTTGTGTTTGTAGGTGGAGCTTGCCGTGATCTCGTATAAAGTCATTAGTGATAATATAATTGTTGTGTTTGTAGGTGGAGCTTGCCGTGATCTCGTATAAAGTCATTAGTGATAATATAATTGTTGTATTTGTAGGTGGAGCTTGCCGTGATCTCGTATAAAGTCATTAGTGATAATATAATTGTTGTGTTTGTAGGTGGAGCTTGCCGTGATCTCGTATAAAGTCATTAGTGATAATATAATTGTTGTGTTTGTAGGTGGAGCTTGCCGTGATCTCGTATAAAGTCATTAGTGATAATATAATTGTTGTATTTGTAGGTGGAGCTTGCCGTGATCTCGTATAAAGTCATTAGTGATAATATAATTGTTGTGTTTGTAGGTGGAGCTTGCCGTGATCTCGTATAAAGTCATTAGTGATAATATAATTGTTGTGTTTGTAGGTGGAGCTTGCCGTGATCTCGTATAAAGTCATTAGTGATAATATAATTGTTGTGTTTGTAGGTGGAGCTTGCCGTGATCTCGTATAAAGTCATTAGTGATAATATAATTGTTGTGTTTGTAGGTGGAGCTTGCCGTGATCTCGTATAAAGTCATTAGTGATAATATAATTGTTGTGTTTGTAGGTGGAGCTTGCCGTGATCTCACATAAAGTCATTAGTGATAATATAATTGTTGTGTTTGTAGGTGGAGCTTGCCGTGATCTCGTATAAAGTCATTAGTGTTGTTGTATTTGTAGGTGGAGCTTGCCGTGATCTTGTATCATTAGTGATAATATAATTGTTGTGTTTGTAGGTGGAGCTTGCCGTGATCTTGTATCATTAGTGATAATATAATTGTTGTGTTTGTAGGTGGAGCTTGCCATGATCTTGTATCATTAGTGATAATATAATTGTTGTGTTTGTAGGTGGAGCTTGCCGTGATCTCGTATCATTAGTGATAATATAATTGTTGTATTTGTAGGTGGAGCTTGCCGTGATCTCGTATAAAGTCATTAGTGATAATATAATTGTTGTATTTGTAGGTGGAGCTTGCCGTGATCTCGTATAAAGTCATTAGTGATAATATAATTGTTGTATTTGTAGGTGGAGCTTGCCGTGATCTCGTATAAAGTCATTAGTGATAATATAATTGTTGTATTTGTAGGTGGAGCTTGCCGTGATCTCGTATAAAGTCATTAGTGATAATATAATTGTTGTGTTTGTAGGTGGAGCTTGCCGTGATCTCGTATCATTAGTGATAATATAATTGTTGTGTTTGTAGGTGGAGCTTGCCGTGATCTCGTATAAAGTCATTAGTGATAATATAATTGTTGTATTTGTAGGTGGAGCTTGCCGTGATCTCGTATAAAGTCATTAGTGATAATATAATTGTTGTGTTTGTAGATAATATAATTGTTGTGTTTGTAGCCGTGAGCTTGCCGTGATCTCGTATAAAGTCATTAGTGATAATATAATTGTTGTGTTTGTAGGTGGAGCTTGCCGTGATCTCGTATAAAGTCATTAGTGATAATATAATTGTTGTGTTTGTAGGTGGAGCTTGCCGTGATCTCGTATAAAGTCATTAGTGATAATATAATTGTTGTGTTTGTAGGTGGAGCTTGCCGTGATCTCGTATAAAGTCATTAGTGATAATATAATTGTTGTGTTTGTAGGTGGAGCTTGCCGTGATCTCGTATAAAGTCATTAGTGATAATATAATTGTTGTGTTTGTAGGTGGAGCTTGCCGTGATCTCGTATCATTAGTGATAATATAATTGTTGTGTTTGTAGGTGGAGCTTGCCGTGATCTTGTATCCTGTGTTCGTTCATATGTACCTAGAACTGGTATATAATGGACATGAAAATCATGGTAAGTGGAGTAAGTGGATGGTCAGGTGGTGCAGTGTTAATATACTTGCCTTTCACATTTGCTTCCCAAACTGCCATGAAATGGTATGGTGTCCATAACAGAAACCACATGGGTTTTCCATATGTACTTTGGTTTTCTCCCAGAATAAGGCCCCTTGCAAGCTAACACCTGGGCCAATAAGAGTGATTATAATAAGATGTTAGCTTGTTTTGAAATAAAGTTAATATTTATATTTAAGTGGAAGTGTAATTTTTTGAAAATGTCCCTTCAGAAAACTGGGAAAAAAGGATTTGTCTTAAAGATATGTTGTCTTTAACACTGTAAATATCTGGCTGTTGTACACTCCTACACAACTGTATATACTACACACACACATATATATATATATATATATATATAAATCTGATATATAACAAAAAACCTTATAAACCTTATAAGATTATTGTTGGTGATCTGTTTTTATTAACTGGTAATAAATGATTACGACAAACCTTCAGTCACTTCAAACATGATTGATTAAATATTGTTGAACCTGTACAACCTATGTGAGATTCTGCTCGTGAAGTAAATTAGAGTTTGAACTGTCAGGATCGACTTTGTACAAAATCATGACAAATTATCTAAAAGTGTCCTAGCATGGCAGGAAATTACTGTGGTCAGTAATGGCATTTTTTAAGGGGAGGGAGGGGAGATGCTGATTATAAAATGATCTTTTGAAACACCCATAGTACTGCAATACATGTTAATTGATTGTTAAGAAATCACAGGTTTCTTTTTGTTCCTGGCCTTGGATATCATGACGGAGAATCAAACCCATGAAAAGCACATTTCTGCATGTGTATTGGCAGAAGTTAGCGTTGACATATCAGTATGCAGAGTATGGATTGAGACTAAGGATTAATGTTTTATAAAATATTTATAAATCTTGCAGTTACTGGGGTATTCTTCTTGTGATTCTCTTATGAAAATGTGAAGTGAAACAATATTGTTCTTTGACAAAACATATGCCAACATCCCTTGGTCCGTATACAATGTAATTAGCTTGTAATACAGAGTTGGAGCTGGTGCAAGCACATTGTTACGGTAAGACATGAAAGAAATCACAGTACATCAAGGCTGATGAAGGTGTGTAATTCGACTCAATCAATTGTTTACAATGGTCATTTGCAGCCGCTACCCACAGTGTTTAACATTGATGTAAGTAATGACCACATGGAACAATTATTGCAACATCAGTGCTTTTTAGTAGTAACCATACAGTCTTGCAATATGTTAAAATTATTTGAAATGTAAGTGAAACATGCTAGAAAGGGTCCAGACTATCACTAGACAGAAAATGGTTGTTTTTATTGAAAAAATCATGTGTTCGAACTACTTGTATATTCAAACTGACCAGAGGTTTATTGTAACTTATTTTTCAAACTACGGACTGATGTTTAAAATGTTAACATGTACCAGTATAGCCCGACTAACTACTAGACGATGGTGATAGTATCACAAGGTTATGCTGTCAATGTCTTTTCTAGTCATAAATTATAGTTCTTGCTGGTAAATTGAATGTGATATCTTTACCTGATGTAATTCTTTTTACAGCCGTTGAGTTTTTTGAAAAATTCCATTCTGACCAGGAGGATTATTATCAGGACGATCTCCGACAGCTGTCCACTGTGGTGAAGCGGGAACACATGCAAGGAAACACACTCATGGAGAACTTTAAGTAAGTCAGAACATGTAAGGTTAAACACACTCATGGAGAACTTTAAGTAAGTCAGAACATGTAAGGTTAAACACACTCATGGAGAACTTAAGTAAGTCAGAACATGTAAGGTTAAACACACTCATGGAGAAGTAAGTCAGAACATGTAAGGTTAAACACACTCATGGAGAAGTAAGTCAGAACATGTAAGGTTAAACACACTCATGGAGAACTTTAAGTAAGTCAGAACATGTAAGGTTAAACACACTCATGGAGAACTTTAAGTAAGTCAGAACATGTAAGGTTAAACACACTCATGGAGAACTTTAAGTAAGTCAGAACATGTAAGGTTAAACACACTCATGGAGAACTTTAAGTAAGTCAGAACATGTAAGGTTAAACACACTCGTGGAGAACTTTAAGTAAGTCAGAACATGTAAGGTTAAACACACTCATGGAGAAGTGAGTCAGAACATGTAAGGTTAAACACACTCATGGAGAAGTAAGTCAGAACATGTAAGGTTAAACACACTCATGGAGAAGTAAGTCAGAACATGTAAGGTTAAACACACTCATGGAGAACTTTAAGTAAGTCAGAACATGTAAGGTTAAACACACTCATGGAGAAGTAAGTCAGAACATGTAAGGTTAAACACACTCATGGAGAACTTTAAGTAAGTCAGAACATGTAAGGTTAAACACACTCATGGAGAACTTTAAGTAAGTCAGAACATGTAAGGTTAAACACACTCATGGAGAACATGTAAGGTTAAACACACTTAAGTCAGAACATGTAAGGTTAAACACACTCATGGAGAAGTAAGTCAGAACAGAGTCAGAACATGTAAGGTTAAACACACTCATGGAGAAGTAAGTCAGAACATGTAAAGTTGAACACACTCATGGAGAACTTAAGTAAGTCAGAACATGTAAGGTTAAACACACTCATGGAGAACTTTAAGTAAGTCAGAACATGTAAGGTTAAACACACTCATGGAAAACTTTAAGTAAGTCAGAACATGTAAGGTTAAACACGCTCGTGGAGAACTTTAAGTAAGTCAGAACATGTAAGGTTAAACACACTCATGGAGAACTTTAAGTAAGTCAGAACATGTAAGGTTAAACACACTCATGGAGAACTTTAAGTAAGTCAGAACATGTAAGGTTAAACACACTCATTAAGTAAGTCAGAACATGAGGAACTTTATGGAGTAAGTCAGTTAAACACACATGTAAGGTTAAACACACTCATGGAGAAGTAAGTCAGAACATGTAAGGTTAAACACACTCATGGAGAAGTAAGTCAGAACATGTAAGGTTAAACACACTCATTGAGAACTTTAAGTAAGTCAGAACATGTAAGGTTAAACACACTCATGGAGAACTTTAAGTAAGTCATAACATGTAAGGTTAAACACGCTCGTGTATAACTTAACTAAGTCAGTACACGTAAGGTTAGTTAGACACGCTTGTGTAGAACTTAACTAAGTCAGCACATGAAAGGTTAAACACACATTAATGGAAAACTGCATTCTTGGATCAGAAGATTTTTTCACCAATAGCTTGTTTTTATTTCTCTGTAATTGTCTCATTAAAGTCTGCTAATTTCTATCCTGTGCCTCATCCAGCCTGCATGACCTTGTGCTCTTGGTTAACTTCAGATCAAGCAAGTTTGTGATCAAGATGTCGCGAGATTCTTATATCCATCTGAAGCGACGCCTACAAGAAAAGAAGATGAAACCCCTGCTTAACATTGTACAGGAACATCTATTTGTGGATGGTATTGTCTTGTAAACTAGCTAACTGGGCTCTTTTTATTATGTACTGTAAAAGGATTATCATTTGCTTATAACTTACAATTATAGAGAATTTTAACTATCAAAATTATAGAGAATTTTAACTATCAAAATTATAGAGAATTTTAACTATCAAAATTACAGAGAATTTTAACTATCAAAATTACAGAGAATTATATATTAAAATCATGGAGAGTTGTAACTATCACCAAAATATAGAGGAAAGTAACTGTCAAAATTACTGGCATTGAGAATGTGTAAAAACAATTGAGAATTAATTATGCCCTCAGTTTGTTTTTCAGAACTTTTATCTCATCTAGATATCTCTTCACTAAGTTTTTAACCAATTTCTTTGGTTGGTTAAAACCTCAACATGAGATTGTGTCCTCATGAACAGCATTTTGATTCAATGATATTTTGAAAAGTTATTGCCTTTTCAGCATTTTAATCTTGTCCAGAGATTTGTTTCTGTTTTCCATCCACCCTTTGAGACTTGTGTCAAAGTAAATCAGAGAGATTTATATTATTAAAACATATTGTCTATGATATTTTGAATCATTATTATCATTTCTTTTTTGTATTCTTTTTGTACAACAATTGCTGAATGTTTTTTTGGCACGGGATGAGTGCATATTGTTCTGCCCCATGGTGCTCTTGTAGTTAAAATCTAACTTCTATTTGTCTGTTGAGGAACTGAATGAATTACGCCTTAAAATATACAAGTCAACTTCATGATTTCTTTATGTCTTCTTGTTTAGTTTTTGATGGCATGCCGAGAAATAAACAGCAGATCCAGTTATCAAGTGGAGCTGTCCTTGGAGAGTCGGAGCGGGAAGGTAAAGGAATATTTCAGCACACCTGTGTCGTTAATATACCGGTGTTATAGGGACATAAACATACCTGTGTTGAAGGTTAATTTGCGTACCTGTTATGTAGGTTCCTTAATATACGTATCATATAGGGTTGTTAACATATGTTTATCACATAGTCTTTCATGTATCTGTGTAATAAGGTCACTGACATATCTGTGTAATAGGGTCACTGACATACCTGTGTGATAGGGTCACTGACATACCTGTGTGATAGGGTCACTGACATAGCTGTACAATAGGGTCATTGTCATATCTGTTATAGTCACTGACATACCTGTGTGATACGGTCACTGATATACCTCTGATAGGGTCACTGACATATCTGTATAATAGGGTCACTGACATATCTGTGTGATAGGGTCACTGTCATACCTGTGTAATAGGGTCAGCTATATACCTGTGTGATAGGGTCACTGACATATCTGTATAATAGGGTCACAGATATACCTGTACAATAAGGTCACTGACATACCTGTGTAATAGGGTCACTGACATACCTGTGTGATAAGGTCACTGACATATCTGTGTAATAGGGTCACTGACATACCTGAACAATAGGGTCACTGACATACCTGTGTGATAGGGTCACTGACATATCTGTGTAATAGGGTCAATTGACATATCTGTAATAGGGTCACTGACATACCTGTACAATAGGTCACTGACATATCTGTGTGATAGTCACTGACTTACCTGTGTGATAGGGTCACTGATATACCTTTGTGATAGGGTCACTGACATATCTGTGTGATAGGGTCACTGACATACCTGTGTGATAGGGTCACTTACATACCTATCTAATAGGGTCACTGACATATCTGTATAATAGGGTCTCAGATATAACTGTACAATAAGGTCATTGACATAACTTTGTAAAAGGGTCACTGATATACCTGTGTGATAGGGTCACTGACATATCTTTGTGATAGGGTCACCGACATACCTGTTTGATAGGGTCACTGATATACCTGTACAATAAGGTCACTGACATACCTGTGATAGGATCACTGACATTCCTGTATGATAGGGTCACTTATATACTTGTGTAATAGGGTCACTGACATACCTGTGTGATAAGGTCACTGACATATCTGTGTGATAGGGTCACTGACACTGACCAGTTTCTTACATCGTCAAAATGCCATAGTTTGACTTCATTTAATGTGTCATATTGGATATAATTATACCAAAGAGAATAAATATCCCAGGTTTTCTGCTTTTGTGACACAGCCAACAGAGTGAAGGTTTACTACGGCCTACTCAAGGAGCCAGACATCAACATTCCCTTGGAGGAGGAGGAAGAAGCAGGGGAGGGCGATGATAAACCCAAGGTAAGGATTTATCAATTTACTGCAGACAGAAAGTTTGGTCAATTTACTGCTGTGTTCATTGTCTACAGACAGAAAGTTTGGTCAATTTACTACTGTGTTCATCATCTACAGACAGAAAGTTTGGTCAATTTACTGCTGTGTTCATTGTCTACAGACAGAAAGTTTGGTCAATTTACTACTGTGTTCATTGTCTACAGACAGAAAGTTTGGTCAGTTTACTACTGTGTTCATTGTCTACAGACAGAAAGTTTGGTCAGTTTACTACTGTGTTCATTGTCTACAGACAGAAAGTTTGGTCAATTTACTACTGTGTTCATCGTCTACAGACAGAAAGTTTGGTCAATTTACTGCTGTGTTCATTGTCTACAGACAGAAAGTTTGGTCAATTTACTGCTGTGTTTATTGTCTACAGACAGAAAGCCCTCCCTCTGACTTTGTATCAGAATGTGTATTGTGTCTCCTATGACTTATTGTCCTATAGCAAGCCCTCCCCCTGACTTTGTATCAGAATGTGTATTGTGTCTCCTATGACTTATTGTCCTATAGCAAGCCCTCCCCCTGACTTTGTATCAGAATGTGTATGTTGTCCCCTTGACTTATTGTCCGGTACAAAGCCCTCCCCCTGACTTTGTATCGGAATGTGTATGTTGTCACCTTGACTTGTTGTCCGGTACAAAGCCCTCCCCCTGACTTTGTATCAGAATGTGTATGTTGTCCCCTTGACTTATTGTCTTGTAGATGCCCTCCCTGACTCCACTATCCAACCCTTAAATCAAAGTAAATCTAATGTTGTACTTACATTAACATTACAGTTTCCTTGTGGATCGTAATCAATGACTTCTGTGTCCTCTTTTGAATAAGCTGACATTGAGATCATAATTGATCACGTTCACAATTCCTTATGCATGCAACCCTGTTAACATTTTTTTGGCATATTTTTCTTTTCTTTTCCAGAAAAAGAAACAGAAGAAAGACCCTTTACTGATGAAAAAGTCTAAAAATGATCCCAATGCTCCACAGAATAACAGAATACCACTACCAGAACTGTAAGTCCTTAAAATGATCCCAATGCTCCACAGAATAACAGAATACCACTACCAGAACTGTAAGTCCTTAAAATGATCCCAACACTCCACAGAATAACAGAATACCACTACCAGAACTGTCAGTCCTTAAAATGATCCCAATGCTCCACAGAATAACAGAATACCACTACCAGAACTGTAAGTCCTTAAAATGATCCCAACACTCCACAGAATAACAGAATACCACTACCAGAACTGTAAGTCCTTAAAATGATCCCAACACTCCACAGAATAACAGAATACCACTACCAGAACTGTCAGTGTTCAAATGATCCCAACACTCCACAGAATAACAGAATACCACTACCAGAACTGTAAGTCCTTAAAATGATCCCAACACTCCACAGAATAACAGAATACCACTACCAGAACTGTCAGTCCTTAAAATGATCCCAACACTCCACAGAATAACAGAATACCACTACCAGAACTGTCAGTGTTCAAATGATCCCAACACTCCACAGAATAACAGAATACTACTACCAGAACTGTAAGTCCTTAAAATGATCCCAACACTCCACAGAATAACAGAATACCACTACCAGAACTGTCAGTCCTTAAAATGATCCCAACACTCCACAGAATAACAGAATACTACTACCAGAACTGTCAGTGTTCAAATGATCCCAACACTCCACAGAATAACAGAATACCACTACCAGAACTGTCAGTGTTCAAATGATCCCAACACTCCACAGAATAACAGAATACTACTACCAGAACTGTAAGTCCTTAAAATGATCCCAACACTCCACAGAATAACAGAATACCACTACCAGAACTGTCAGTCCTTAAAATGATCCCAACACTCCACAGAATAACAGAATACTACTACCAGAACTGTCAGTGTTCAAATGATCCCAACACTCCACAGAATAAATACTACTACCAGAACTGTAAGTCCTTAAAATGATCCCAACACTCCACAGAATAACAGAATACCACTACCAGAACTGTCAAATGTCCTTAAAATGATCCCAACACTCCACAGAATAACAGAATACTACTACCAGAACTGTCAGTGTTCAAATGATCCCAACACTCCACAGAATAACAGAATACACTCCACAGATCCCAACACTCCACAGAATAACAGAATACCACTACCAGAACTGTCAGTGTTCAAATGATCCCAACACTCCACAGAATAACAGAATACTACTACCAGAACTGTAAGTCCTTAAAATGATCCCAACACTCCACAGAATAACAGAATACTACTACCAGAACTGTAAGTCCTTAAAATGATCCCAACACTCCACAGAATAACAGAATACCACTACCAGAACTGTCAGTGTTCAAATGATCCCAACACTCCACAGAATAACAGAATACTACTACCAGAACTGTCAGTGTTCAAATGATCCCAACACTCCACAGAATAACAGAATACTACTACCAGAACTGTAAGTCCTTAAAATGATCCCAACACTCCACAGAATAACAGAATACCACTACCAGAACTGTCAGTCCTTAAAATGATCCCAACACTCCACAGAATAACAGAATACCACTACCAGAACTGTCAGTGTTCAAATGATCCCAACACTCCACAGAATAACAGAATACCACTACCAGAACTGTCAGTGTTCAAATGATCCCAACACTCCACAGAATAACAGAATACCACTACCAGAACTGTCAGTACCAGAACTGTCAGTGTTCAAATGATCCCAACACTCCACAGAATAACAGAATACCACTACCAGAACTGTCAGTGTTCAAATGATCCCAACACTCCACAGAATAACAGAATACCACTACCAGAACTGTCAGTGTTCAAATGATCCCAACACTCCACAGAATAACAGAATACTACTACCAGAACTGTAAGTCCTTAAAATGATCCCAACACTCCACAGAATAACAGAATACTACTACCAGAACTGTCAGTGTTCAAATGATCCCAACACTCCACAGAATAACAGAATACCACTACCAGAACTGTCAGTGTTCAAATGATCCCAACACTCCACAGAATAACAGAATACTACTACCAGAACTGTCAGTGTTCAAATGATCCCAACACTCCACAGAATAACGGAATACTACTACCAGAACTGTATGTAAAGAAAAAAAATTACTGAGCAGTCAGGACAGTGCTTTTTGAACAGCCAGACTGGTAGGTTATGAGCAGTCAGGGCAGTGCTTTTTGAACAGCCAGACTGGTGGGTTATGAGCAGTCAGGACAGTGCTTTTTGAACAGCCAGACTGGTAGGTTATGAGCAGTCAGGACAGTGCTTTTTGAACAGCCAGACTGGTAGGTTATGAGCAGTCAGGACAGTGCTTTTTGAACAGCCAGACTGGTAGGTTATGAGCAGTCAGGACAGTGCTTTTTGAACAGCCAGACTGGTAGGTTATGAGCAGTCAGGGCAGTGCTTTTTGAACAGCCAGACTGGTGGGTTATGAGCAGTCAGGGCAGTGCTTTTTGAACAGCCAGACTGGTGGGTTATGAGCAGTCAGGACAGTGCTTTTTGAACAGCCAGACTGGTGGGTTATGAGCAGTCAGGGCAGTGCTTTTTGAACAGCCAGACTGGTAGGTTATGAGCAGTCAGGACAGTGCTTTTTGAACAGCCAGACTGGTAGGTTATGAGCAGTCAGGACAGTGCTTTTTGAACAGCCAGACTGGTGGGTTATGAGCAGTCAGGACAGTGCTTTTTGAACAGCCAGACTGGTGGGTTATGAGCAGTCAGGGCAGTGCTTTTTGAACAGCCAGACTGGTGGGTTATGAGCAGTCAGGACAGTGCCTTTTTAACAGCCAGACTGGTGGGTTATGAGCAATCAGGACAGTGCTTTTTGAACAGCCAGACTGGTGGGTTATGAGCAGTCAGGACAGTGCTTTTTGAACAGCCAGACTGGTAGGTTATGAGCAGTCAGGACAGTGCTTCTTGAACAGCCAGACTGGTAGGTTATGAGCAGTCAGGACAGTGCTTTTTGAACAGCCAGACTGGTGGGTTATGAGCAGTCAGGACAGTGCCTTTTTAACAGCCAGACTGGTGGGTTATGAGCAGTCAGGACAGTGCCTTTTTAACAGCCAGACTGGTAGGTTATGAGCAGTCAGGACAGTGCTTTTTGAACAGCCAGACTGGTAGGTTATGAGCAGTCAGGACAGTGCTTTTTGAACAGCCAGACTGGTGGGTTATGAGCAGTCAGGACAGTGCCTTTTTAACAGCCAGACTGGTGGGTTATGAGCAGTCAGGACAGTGCCTTTTTAACAGCCAGGCCAGTGCTTCTTGAACAGTCAGGCTAGGGGGCTTGCCTATGGATGTTTTATTGTTGCCACGTTAAGGTTGGTTATTCAAAAACAGTATGTTCGTAGATTTGCTTTGTATCAGAACACTGGTGTTCATGTAAGATTTACCTCCCTTAATATTGTATCATCCTTGTGTGGTCACTTCTCTTTTCAGGATTTCCACTGGAATATCAGATAACAAAATGAAAACCATCAAATTGTTTCCAAAGTTACATACCCCCTTAACATAAAGCTGTTAATTTCAGGAAAGATAGTGATAAGATAGAGAAGATTACAGTGTTTCGTGAGGCAACAAAACGAGTGAAGGTCAACTCCACCTGCATGCCGTCTATCTGCTTTTACACTTTGCTCAACTCATTTCAGGGGTAAGTATTGTGAATATTAGCAAAGCACACTGAATTTGTTATTGATACAATTACACATTGTCAGGAGCGATCCGATGAAACATTTGTCACTTTTGATACATGACTCAACTGATTCTGTGGTTGGCTATGTCTCAACTGATTCTGTGGTTGGCTATCTGCTAATCTGGCTGAATTTATGAATGCGAAGTACTTGTCAGCAATATTCCAGCCAAACATCTACCCTGAATCTTTCTATGTAGATAACTGATACTGATCATGGATGTATCCTCTCATGATTTCGCCTGGTTCAAAGGACCAAGGTGAGCTTGCCATACTACATCCATCATCCATTGTCTGTCCATCAAGAATATTTGAAAAAACAACTTCATCGTCTTGACCATTGATTAGACTTGATACAAATTTGACCGGGAGTGTCCCCAAGTGGTAAAGATAGAAAATTATACTAGTGGTGGGGCACGAGTGACAGGGCCTAGTAAGGAAAATGTAGTAGCTTCTTTACAAACCTTTTTTCATATGAATGACAGGATATAATCTAAATTTGATTGGAAGCATCCTAGCTAGGGTGAAATTTTAATCTTGTATAAATGGTGGAACAACATTTAATTGAGATGAAGCAAACCAAACCATGTGAACATTACAAGCCCTTTGGACCTCTTGTCTAAACCTTTAACGAGTAGTTATCTTATCTTTGGCCTCTCATTTGATTACTTTTTTGTTTCCAGGGCAACTTGTGTGGAGATCAGTGAAGATTCAAGTCTTCTTGCTGCGGGATTCTCGAACTCTGCTATCAGGGTATTTAGTCTGCTGAATTCAGTGAAGCTACGCACTATGAAAAAATCCAAAGACCTTGACATAATCGACAAAGAAGCAGGTAAGTAGCTCTTGGGTTTTAAACCAAAAGCATTGGTTATGCTTTTTGTCAAATAAAAACACTATGAGTTGGTTTTAAGCTCTTTAGTTGAAAAGAAATAACAAAATATCACAGCTACCATCAACTTTTTTCTGTGTGTTTTTTGGGGGATGGGTTTAGATAACATACAAAATCTTCAATCTTTTCTAAGGACAAAATTTGTTAAGAACAGTTAACTTCTTGGAATTTATTTATTTTAGAGATAAAAAACTAACTTTGACTCTCTTCTTTAAGTATGCTGAAAGAGAAAAACTGTAACTTTTTAGCCCACCATCTATCTAATAGATGGTGGGTTATTCAAATCGCCCTGCGTCCGTGGTCCGTCGTCCGTCCGTCCGTCCGTCCGTAAACAATTCTTGTTACCGCTATTTCTGGAAAAGTATTGGATGGATCTTTCTCAAATTTCATATGCAGGTTCCCCTTGGTCCCTAGTTGTGCATTGTACCTTTTTTGAACTGATTCGCATTCAAGATGGCCGACAGGTGGCCATCTTGGATTTTGGAAGTAAAAGTTTGTTACCGCTATTTCTGGAAAAGTATTGGATGGATCTTTCTCAAATTTCATATGCAGGTTCCCCTTGGTCCCTAGTTGTGCATTGTACCTTTTTTGAACTGATTCGCATTCAAGATGGCCGACAGGTGGCCATCTTGGATTTTGGAAGTAAAAGTTTGTTACCGCTATTTCTGGAAAAGTATTGGATGGATCTTTCTCAAATTTCATATGCAGTTTCCCCTTGGTCCCTAGTTGTGCATTGTACCTTTCTTGGACTGATTTGAATTCAAGATGGCCGACAGGTGGCCATCTTGGATTTTGGAAGTAAAAATTTGTTACCGCTATTTCTGAGAAAGTACTGGATGGATCTTCCTCAAATTTCATATGCAGATTCCTCTTGGTCCCTAGTTGTGCATTGTACCTTTTTTGGACTGATTCGAATTCAAGATGGCTGACAGGTAGCCATCTTGGATTTTGGATGTAAAAGTTTGTTACTGCTATTTCTTGAAAAGTACTGGATGGATCTTTCTCAAATTTCATATGCAGGTTCCCCTTGGTCCCTAGTTGTGCATTGTACCTTTTTTGAACTGATTCGCATCCAAGATGGCCGACAGGTGGCCATCTTGGATTTTGGAAGTAAAAGTTTGTTACCGCTATTTCTGGAAAAGTATTGGATGGATCTTTCTCAAATTTCATATGCAGGTTCCCCTTGGTCCCTAGTTGTGCATTGTACCTTTTTTGAACTGATTCGCATTCAAGATGGCCGACAGGTGGCCATCTTGGATTTTGGAAGTAAAAGTTTGTTACCGCTATTTCTGGAAAAGTATTGGATGGATCTTTCTCAAATTTCATATGCAGTTTCCCCTTGGTCCCTAGTTGTGCATTGTACCTTTCTTGGACTGATTTGAATTCAAGATGGCCGACAGGTGGCCATCTTGGATTTTGGAAGTAAAAATTTGTTACCGCTATTTCTGAGAAAGTACTGGATGGATCTTCCTCAAATTTCATATGCAGATTCCTCTTGGTCCCTAGTTGTGCATTGTACCTTTTTTGGACTGATTCGAATTCAAGATGGCTGACAGGTAGCCATCTTGGATTTTGGATGTAAAAGTTTGTTACTGCTATTTCTTGAAAAGTACTGGATGGATCTTTCTCAAATTTCATATGCAGGTTCCCCTTGGTCCCTAGTTGTGCATTGTACCTTTTTTGGACTGATTCGAATTCAAGATGGCTGACAGGTGGCCATCTTGGATTTTGGATGTAAAAGTTTGTTACCGCTATTTCTTGGAAAGTACTGGATGGATCTTTCTCAAATTTCATATGCAGGTTCCCCTTGGTCCCTAGTTGTGCATTGTACCTTTTTTGGACTGATTTGAAATCAAGGTGGCCCACAGGCAGCCATCTTGGATGTCGACAGTAATACAGCACAAGCATATTGTCCATTATCCACCTGTAACTGACTGCTATCTAATAATACTTTAATCTTTTTCAAATGATATTTGCTAATAGGTGCTTAATAAAAATATCTTGTGCCATCATTGAGTATATTCAATGAAGACCAGTTCATGAACATTTACAACACCTGTAACAAACAAAAAAAAATAAACAAATCTTCAAGAACTGAAAACAGATCCTCAAATGGTGGGCGCCAAGATCCCTCTGGGATCTCTTGTTTAACTGATATATTTCATTCCTGTGAAAAATTAGGGTACATGTATTATGTTACGCCTCTATATTAGAATTCCTAGCTGGCTCAATATATTGTAATCTAAAACATGTTGTATTTTGGAGGATTTTAAAAATTTGTACAGAGAAATGCAAATTGCTGAAAAAGAAAAAGATATGTGTAAAACTTTCTACTAAATACTACAGAGAGGTAGATACAAACATTGCATTGTATATACACTACATTTATACCTGCCAGGCCTTTAGATTTAACCAAACTGATATCCAAACTTTTAATTCAACAGAGGATGTTCTAGAGAGAATGATGGATGATCGGACAGCTAGTGAGTTTAAGGTTTTACTAGGACACAGTGGTCCTGTATACGCCACAAACTTTAGTCGCGACCGAAAGTTCCTGATTTCAGCCTCGGAGGATGGTACAAGTAAGTGTTATGCTGCATTTAACATTGCAGATAAACTTGACTACCATAGAACTAAAAGATGCTTTGGAATTGAAATACTTTGATTTTTGATAATTACTAAATTAAATGACCAAGGTGCAAGTTTTAAAAATGTCCAGTAGACAGGTACCTTTTGACTTTTTGTGATCTAAGGCTTGTCTTGGTGGGACATCAGATTTAGGAGTGATTATATCTATGTTACAAGGGACACATCTCCCCAGTGTGGGACATCAGATTTAGTGATTATATCTATGTTCAACAAGGGACACATCTCCCCAGTGTGGGACATCAGATTTAGGTAGTGATTATATCTATGTTACAAGGGACACATCTCCCCAGTGTGGGACATCAGATTTAGGTACAGTGATTATATCTATGTTACAAGGGACACATCTCCCCAGTGTGGGACATCAGATTTAGGTAGTGATTATATATATGTTACAAGGGACACATCTCCCCAGTGTGGGACATCAGATTTAGGTACAGTGATTATATCTATGTTACAAGGGACACATCTCCCCAGTGTGGGACATCAGATTTAGGTAGTGATTATATCTATGTTACAAGGGACACATCTACCCAGTGTGGGACATCAGATTTAGGTACAGTGATTATATCTATGTTACAAGGGACACATCTCCCCAGTGTGGGACATCAGATTTAGGTACAGTGATTATATCTATGTTACAAGGGACACATCTCCCCAGTGTGGGACATCAGATTTAGGTAGTGATTATATCTATGTTACAAGGGACACATCTCCCCAGTGTGGGACATCAGATTTAGGTAGTGATTATATCTATGTTACAAGGGACACATCTCCCCAGTGTGGGACATCAGATTTAGGTAGTGATTATATCTATGTTACAAGGGACACATCTCCCCAGTGTGGGACATCAGATTTAGGTAGTGAGTATATCTATGTTACAAGGGACACATCTCCCCAGTGTGGGACATCAGATTTAGGTAGTGATTATATCTATGTTACAAGGGACACATCTCCCCAGTGTGGGACATCAGATTTAGGTACAGTGATTATATCTATGTTACAAGGGACACATCTCCCCAGTGTGGGACATCAGATTTAGGTAGTGATTATATCTATGTTACAAGGGACACATCTCCCCAGTGTGGGACATCAGATTTAGGTACAGTGATTATATCTATGTTACAAGGGACACATCTCCCCAGTGTGGGACATCAGATTTAGGTAGTGATTATATCTATGTTACAAGGGACACATCTCCCCAGTGTGGGACATCAGATTTAGGTACAGTGATTATATCTATGTTACAAGGGACACATCTCCCCAGTGTGGGACATCAGATTTAGGTAGTGATTATATCTATGTTACAAGGGACACATCTCCCCAGTGTGGGACATCAGATTTAGGTAGTGATTATATCTATGTTACAAGGGACACATCTCCCCAGTGTGGGACATCAGATTTAGGTGGGACAGTGATTATATCTATGTTACAAGGGACACATCTCCCCAGTGTGGGACATCAGATTTAGGTAGTGATTATATCTATGTTACAAGGGACACATCTCCCCAGTGTGGGACATCAGATTTAGGTAGTGATTATATCTATGTTACAAGGGACACATCTCCCCAGTGTGGGACATCAGATTTAGGTAGTGATTATATCTATGTTACAAGGGACACATCTCCCCAGTGTGGGACATCAGATTTAGGTAGTGATTATATCTATGTTACAAGGGACACATCTCCCCAGTGTGGGACATCAGATTTAGGTAGTGATTATATCTATGTTACAAGGGACACATCTCCCCAGTGTGGGACATCAGATTTAGGTAGTGATTATATCTATGTTACAAGGGACACATCTCCCCAGTGTGGGACATCAGATTTAGGTAGTGATTATATCTAGTGATTATATCTATGTTACAAGGGACACATCTCCCCAGTGTGGGACATCAGATTTAGGTAGTGATTATATCTATGTTACAAGGGACACATCTCCCCAGTGTGGGACATCAGATTTAGGTACAGTGATTATATCTATGTTACAAGGGACACACACATCTCCCCAGTGTGGGACATCAGATTTAGGTAGTGATTATATCTATGTTACAAGGGACACATCTCCCCAGTGTGGGACATCAGATTTAGGTAGTGATTATATCTATGTTACAAGGGACACATCTCCCCAGTGTGGGACATCAGATTTAGGTGCAGTGATTATATCTATGTTACAAGGGACACATCTCCCCAGTGTGGGACATCAGATTTAGGTAGTGATTATATCTATGTTACAAGGGACACATCTCCCCAGTGTGGGACATCAGATTTAGGTAGTGATTATATCTATGTTACAAGGGACACATCTCCCCAGTGTGGGACATCAGATTTAGGTAGTGATTATATCTATGTTACAAGGGACACATCTCCCCAGTGTGGGACATCAGATTTAGGTAGTGATTATATCTATGTTACAAGGGACACATCTCCCCAGTGTGGGACATCAGATTTAGGTACAGTGATTATATCTATGTTACAAGGGACACATATCTATGTTACAAGGGACACATCTCCCCAGTGTGGGACATCAGATTTAGGTAGTGATTATATCTATGTTACAAGGGACACATCTCCCCAGTGTGGGACATCAGATTTAGGTAGTGATTATATCTATGTTACAAGGGACACATCTCCCCAGTGTGGGACATCAGATTTATACAGATTTAGTGTAGTGATTATATCTATGTTACAAGGGACACATCTCCCCAGTGTGGGACATCAGATTTAGGTGCAGTGATTATATCTATGTTACAAGGGACACATCTCCCCAGTGTGGGACATCAGATTTAGGTAGTGATTATATCTATGTTACAAGGGACACATCTCCCCAGTGTGGGACATCAGATTTAGGTACAGTGATTATATCTATGTTACAAGGGACACATCTCCCCAGTGTGGGACATCAGATTTAGGTAGTGATTATATCTATGTTACAAGGGACACATCTCCCCAGTGTGGGACATCAGATTTAGGTAGTGATTATATCTATGTTACAAGGGACACATCTCCCCAGTGTGGGACATCAGATTTAGGTAGTGATTATATCTATGTTACAAGGGACACATCTCCCCAGTGTGGGACATCAGATTTAGGTAGTGATTATATCTATGTTACAAGGGACACATCTCCCCAGTGTGGGACATCAGATTTAGGTAGTGATTATATCTATGTTACAAGGGACACATCTCCCCAGTGTGGGACATCAGATTTAGGTAGTGATTATATCTATGTTACAAGGGACACATCTCCCCAGTGTGGGACATCAGATATAGATAGTGATTATATCTATGTTACAAGGGACACATCTCCCCAGTGTGGGACATCAGATTTAGGTAGTGATTATATCTATGTTACAAGGGACACATCTCCCCAGTGTGGGACATCAGATTTAGGTAGTGATTATATCTATGTTACAAGGGACACATCTCCCCAGTGTGGGACATCAGATTTAGGTAGTGATTATATCTATGTTACAAGGGACACATCTCCCCAGTGTGGGACATCAGATTTAGGTACAGTGATTATATCTATGTTACAAGGGACACATCTCCCCAGTGTGGGACATCAGATTTAGGTAGTGATTATATCTATGTTACAAGGGACACATCTCCCCAGTGTGGGACATCAGATTTAGGTAGTGATTATATCTATGTTACAAGGGACACATCTCCCCAGTGTGGGACATCAGATTTAGGTAGTGATTATATCTATGTTACAAGGGACACATCTCCCCAGTGTGGGACATCAGATTTAGGTACAGTGATTATATCTATGTTACAAGGGACACATCTCCTCAGTGTGGGACATCAGATTTAGGTAGTGATTATATCTATGTTACAAGGGACACATCTCCCCAGTGTGGGACATCAGATTTAGGTAGTGATTATATCTATGTTACAAGGGACACATCTCCCCAGTGTGGGACATCAGATTTAGGTAGTGATTATATCTATGTTACAAGGGACACATCTCCCCAGTGTGGGACATCAGATTTAGGTAGTGATTATATCTATGTTACAAGGGACACATCTCCCCAGTGTGGGACATCAGATTTAGGTAGTGATTATATCTATGTTACAAGGGACACAGTGTGGGACATCAGATTTAGGTAGTGATTATATCTATGTTACAAGGGACACATCTCCCCAGTGTGGGACATCAGATTTAGGTAGTGATTATATCTATGTTACAAGGGACACATCTCCCCAGTGTGGGACATCAGATTTAGGTACAGTGATTATATCTATGTTACAAGGGACACATCTCCCCAGTGTGTGGGACATCAGATTTAGGTACAGTGATTATATCTATGTTACAAGGGACACATCTCCCCAGTGTGGGACATCAGATTTAGGTAGTGATTATATCTATGTTACAAGGGACACATCTCCCCAGTGTGGGACATCAGATTTAGGTAGTGATTATATCTATGTTACAAGGGACACATCTCCCCAGTGTGGGACATCAGTTTTAGGTAGTGATTATATCTATGTTACAAGGGACACATCTCCCCAGTGTGGGACATCAGATTTAGGTACAGTGATTATATCTATGTTACAAGGGACACATCTCCCCAGTGTGGGACATCAGATTTAGGTACAGTGATTATATCTATGTTACAAGGGACACATCTCCCCAGTGTGGGACATCAGATTTAGGTAGTGATTATATCTATGTTACAAGGGACACATCTCCCCAGTGTGGGACATGATTTATATGATTATATCTATGTTACAAGGGACACATCTCCCCAGTGTGGGACATCAGATTTAGGTACAGTGATTATATCTATGTTACAAGGGACACATCTCCCCAGTGTGGGACATCAGATTTAGGTAGTGATTATATCTATGTTACAAGGGACACATCTCCCCAGTGTGGGACATCAGATTTAGGTAGTGATTATATCTATGTTACAAGGGACACATCTCCCCAGTGTGGGACATCAGATTTACAAGAAGTGTACAGTGATTATATCTATGTTACAAGGGACACATCTCCCCAGTGTGGGACATCAGATTTAGGTACAGTGATTATATCTATGTTACAAGGGACACATCTCCCCAGTGTGGGACATCAGATTTAGGTAGTGATTATATCTATGTTACAAGGGACACATCTCCCCAGTGTGGGACATCAGATTTAGGTAGTGATTATATCTATGTTACAAGGGACACATCTCCCCAGTGTGGGACATCAGATTTATGTACAGTGATTATATCTACCTTACCTTTTATAAAATGTCACTTTTATCGTTGTTATGTGAAAAAAATTGGAAAAGTTTGTAATTAAGTGTTAAAGGCCTTTGTAAGATCTACATGTCATCTTTCAGACCTACATGTCATCTTTCAGACCATCATGTCACCCTTCTGGCCTTCATGTCATCCTTCTGACCTTTCTGTCATCTTCGAGACCTTCATGTACTCTTTCTGGCCTTCATGTCATTTTATAGACCTACATGTCATCTTTCAGGCCTACATTTTACCTTTCAGACCTACATGTCATCTTTCAGACCTTCATGGCATCTTTAAGAGCTTTGTGTCATCCTTCTGGCCTTCATGTCATTTTATAGACCTACATGTCATCTTTCAGGCCTACATTTTACCTTTCAGACCTTCATGTCATCTTTCAGACCTTCATGTCATCCTTCTGACCTTCATTTTATCCTTCTGACCTTCATGTCATCTTTCAGACCTTCATGTCATCCTTGTGACTTTCATGTCATCTTTCTGACTTTCATGTCATCTTTCTGACCTTCATGTCATCTTTCAGACCTTCATGTCATCCTTCTGGCCTTCATGTCATCCTTCTGAGCTTCATGTCATCTTTAAGACCTTCGTGTCAACCTTCTGGCCTTCATGTCATCTTTCAGACCTTCATGGCATCTTTCTGACCTTCATGTCATCTTTCAGACCTTCATGGCATCTTGAAGACCTTTGTGTCATCCTTCTGGCCTTCATGTCATCTTTCAGACCTTCATGGCATCTTGAAGACCTTTGTGTCATCCTTCTGGCCTTCATGTCATTTTATAGACCTACATGTCATCTCTCAGACCTTCATGTCATCCTTCTGGCCTTCATGTCATCTTTCAGACCTTCATGTCATCTTTCAGACCTTCATGTCATCTTTCAGACCTTCATGTCATCCTTCTGGCCTTCATGTCATCTTTCAGACCTTCATGTCATCCTTCTGGCCTTCATGTCATCTTTCAGACCTTCATGTCATCCTTCTGGCCTTCATGTCATCTTTCAGACCTTCATGTCATCCTTCTGGCCTTCATGTCATCTTTCAGACCTTCATGTCATCCTTCTGGCCTTCATGTCATCTTTCAGACCTTCATGTCATCCTTCTGGCCTTCATGTCATCTTTCTGACTTTCATGTCATCTTTCAGACCTTCATGTCATCTTTAAGACCTTCATGTCATCCTTCTGGCCTTCATGTCATCCTTCTGGCCTTCATGTCATCTTTCAGACCTTCATGTCATCTTTCAGACCTTCATGTCATCTTTAAGACCTTCGTGTCATCCTTCTGGCCTTCATGTCATCCTTCTGGCCTTCATGTCATCTTTCAGACCTTCATGTCATCTTTCAGACCATCATGTCATCCTTCTGGCCTTCATGTCATCTTTCAGACCTTCGTGTCATCCTTCTGGCCTTCATGTCATCTTTCAGACCTTCATGTCATCCTTCTGGCCTTCATGTCATCTTTCAGACCTTCATGTCATCCTTCTGGCCTTCATGTCATCTTTCAGACCTTCATGTCATCTTTCAGACCTTCATGTCATCTTTCAGACCTTCATGTCATCTTTAAGACCTTCATGTCATCCTTCTGGCCTTCATGTCATCTTTCAGACCTTCATGTCATCCTTCTGGCCTTCATGTCATCTTTCAGACCTTCATGTCATCCTTCTGGCCTTCATGTCATCTTTCAGACCCTTCATGTCATCCTTCTGGCCTTCATGTCACCTTCATGTCATCTTTCAGACCTTCATGTCATCTTTAAGACCTTTGTGTCATCCTTCTTGCCTTCATGTCATCCTTCTGGCCTTCATGTCATCTTTCAGACCTTCATGTCATCTTTAAGACCTTTGTGTCATCCTTCTGGCCTTCATGTCATCCTTCTGGCCTTCATGTCATCTTTCAGACCTTCATGTCATCTTTCAGACCTTCATGTCATCCTTCTGGCCTTCATGTCATCTTTAAGGCCTTCATGTCATCCTTCTGGCCTTCATGTCATCTTTCAGACCTTCATGTCATCTTTCAGACCTTCATGTCATCCTTCTGTCCTTCATGTCATCTTTCAGACCTTCATGTCATCTTTCAGACCTTCATGTCATCCTTCTGGCCTTCATGTCATCTTTCAGACCTTCATGTCATCCTTCTGGCCTTCATGTCATCTTTCAGACCTTCATGTCATCCTTCTGGCCTTCATGTCATCTTTCAGACCTTCATGTCATCTTTCAGACCTTCATGTCATCTTTAAGACCTTCGTGTCATCCTTCTGGCCTTCATGTCATCCTTCTGGCCTTCATGTCATCTTTCAGACCTTCATGTCATCTTTCAGACCTTCATGTCATCCTTCTGGCCTTCATGTCATCTTTCAGACCTTCATGTCATCTTTCAGACCTTCATGTCATCTTTCAGACCTTCATGTCGTCTTTCAGACCTTCATGTCATCCTTCTGGCCTTCATGTCATCTTTCAGACCTTCATGTCATCCTTCTGGCCTTCATGTCATTTTTCAGACCTTCATGTCATCCTTCTGGCCTTCATGTCATCTTTCAGACCTTCATGTCATCCTTCTGGCCTTCATGTCATCTTTCAGACCTTCATGTCATCCTTCTGGCCTTCATGTCATCTTTCAGACCTTCATGTCATCCTTCTGGCCTTCATGTCATCTTTCAGACCTTCATGTCATCTTTCAGACCTTCATGTCATCTTTCAGACCTTCATGTCATCTTTAAGACCTTCGTGTTATCCTTCTGGCCTTCATGTCATCCTTCTGGCCTTCATGTCATCTTTCAGACCTTCATGTCATCCTTCTGGCCTTCATGTCATCTTTCAGACCTTCATGTCATCCTTCTGGCCTTCATGTCATCTTTCAGACCTTCATGTCATCTTTCAGACCTTCATGTCATCTTTCAGACCATCATGTCATCCTTCTGGCCTTCATGTCATCTTTCAGACCTTCATGTCATCTTTCAGACCTACATGTCATCTTTCAGACCTACATGTCATCTTTCAGACCTTCATGTCATCTTTCAGACCTTCATGTCATCTTTCAGACCTTCATGTCATCTTTCAGACCATCATGTCATCCTTCTGGCCTTCATGTCATCTTTCAGACCTACATGTCATCTTTCAGACCTACATGTCATCTTTCAGACCAGTGGCAATCTCTTGATATGAAAGTTTGAAATTTTTCAGTTAATTGTACATTTTACACAAATTTCACTGATTTGATGAAAAATGTATTTAAAATTTCCAAATTTGGCTATTGATAGTCATCTCTATAAAAGTCTTTATTTTGTTCGTTTTTCAGACCTATGTGTCAGTAACTATGTCAGATGTGATGTTTCTTAATTTCCTTGTATGCAGATGATTTTTTTTCATTTGTAATTACAAAAAAGAAAAGAAAAAGAAGAAAGGAAAGAAAATCAGCACTTTCACTGAGTGTTAAAGTAATTTTTATGATACGTTTTTTTTCTTCAGATGTTTAAATCTTTGTTGTCCTTTTTCTTTACAGTGTGCTTTATTCCACCCAAACAGTAATTACATAGCAACAGGGTCAAGTGATCGAGTAGTCAGAATGTGGGACAACTTGACCGGCAACTGTGTCCGAATTCTCACTGGACATAAGGTAAGTTGACTGGCAACTGTGTCCGAATTCTTACTGGACATAAGGTAAGTTGACCGGCAACTATATCTGAATTCTTACTTGACATAAAGTAGTTGACCAACAACTGTATCTGAATTCTCACTGAGCATTATAGTAGATTGATTGATTGCAAAATTACCACTGGACATACTGGAGATAAACAGGAAATGTGTCCTTATTGGTTATAACTGGACATTATTGGGCCTGACAAAAACTTTCAAAAGTACTGCTCCATCAGACTAACGACTTAAATAAAAGAACTCGTCTGGACAAAAATTTGCTAGTCTGGAAAATTTACATTAAAACTTTTCAAAATCCTATTTAGAGTGCTAACATGTTATATATCAGCTAGTCTTTAATTCAAACTTCATCCGTGAATCAATTGCTGTGTCAAAAGTATGTCATCTGTCATAATCATTGTATGACAAGTATGACATGATAATTAGTGTATTACAAGTAAGACATGTGATAATCAGTGTATCACAAGTATGACGTGATAATTAATGTATTACAAGTATGACATGTAATAATTAGTGTATTACAAGTATGACATGTGATAATTAGTGTATTACAAGTATGACATGTGATAATTAGTGTATTACAAGTATGACATGTGATAATTAGTGTATTACAAGTATGACATGTGATAATTAGTGTATTACAAGTACGACATTATGTGATAATTAGCATATTACAAGAATGACATGTGATAATTAGTGTATTACAAGTACGACATTATGTGATAATTAGCATATTACAAGAATGACATGTGATAATTAGTGTATTACAAGTACGACATTATGTGATAATTAGCATATTACAAGAATGACATGTGATAATTAGTGTATTACAAGTACGACATTATGTGATAATTAGCATATTACAAGAATGACATGTGATAATTAGTGTATTACAAGTATGACATGTGATAATTAGCATATTACAAGAATGACATGTGATAATTAGTGTATTACAAGTACGACATTATGTGATAATTAGCATATTACAAGAATGACATGTGATAATTAGTGTATTACAAGTACGACATTATGTGATAATTAGCATATTACAAGAATGACATGTGATAATTAGTGTATTACAAGTACGACATTATGTGATAATTAGCATATTACAAGAATGACATGTGATAATTAGTGTATTACAAGTATGACATTATGTAATAATAAGCATATTACAAGTATGACATATATGATATTTAATTACTGCCAACATGTTAATTATTGTGAAGGTTTTATTGTTATTGTTTTGGTTGTTTTCTCTTAATCCAGGAATTTTTATTTCCATGGAAATTATATAGAGTTTCAAATTCAAATAGTGGAAGCACTGGTAGATTGTCATGAGTGCTTATGTCAACAAAAAAAGATTTCATGGAAAACCACAAGATTTTAGTCTCACCAAAATTTCTGATTGTACAGAAAATTTATTAATTATAGTTCTTTGTGATCTTCATAAACTTTCTGATTATTCTTCAGCTGTCTTTATTTGATAGACTTTCAACATTCCAAAGATCATATTACAAAATTTCCAATTCTTTTTCACAAGATGACATGAAAATATCTTAATATGCTATTTTGCATAAGAAGTCAAATTAGTTTGGTTGAAACGATGCATTTTTTGTATGTATTATATGTAATTTGCATAATGATTTGTAATTCCCATTTTCCTGTAGAATTGTCTTTTTGGGGGGGACATTATTTTGGGGATAAAAATAGATTAATTAATCATCTTTAACTAATTTATGAGTTTATGAGCATAATTATGAATTCATGGTTAAAGAGTGCATTTAAAGTAAAAAAATAAATCAACTTCGAAAATCAATGATATTACAGTCAGAGTGGGTTTTACTAATGTCATTTCCATGAATTTGTTTTTATATGACTTTTACAGACATTTTGTCAGTTTTTGTTTCTCTTCAACAGGGAGCTGTACAAGTATTGTGTTTCTCACCGGACGGGAGATTCCTCGTCTCCTCAGGTAAAATCTTATTGTTACAGTGAAACCTGATTAAAAAGACACCATGGGGACTGGACAAAAGTGGTGTTAGTGAGGGAGTAGTCTGAATGATGAGTATGACCTTGTCGACAGATTTCCCTGACAACTCTATGTTTTGTATCATATAACACAGTAATTGTATCATTAGTCAGTAACCATAACAACACCAGCTGATTTTACTTCTGGTGTACATGGTTGTCAGATTAGAGAGGTGATATATATACACCAGGTAACTGTGTGAGTTTTTGTGATTGGTCAGTTGTCAGATTAGTGAGGTGATGTAGACACGCCAGGTAACTGTGTGAGTTTTTGTGATTGGTCAGTTGTCAGATTAGTGAGGTGATGTAGACACACCAGGTAACTGTGTGAGTTTTTGTGATTGGTCAGTTGTCAGATTAGTGAGGTGATATATACACACCAGGTAACTGTGTGAGTTTTTGTGATTGGTCAGTTGTCAGATTAGAGAGGTGATATATATACACCAGGTAACTGTGTGAGTTTTTGTGATTGGTCAGTTGTCAGATTAGAGAGGTGATATAGATACACCAGGTAACTGTGTGAGTTTTTGTGATTGGTCAGTTGTCAGATTAGTGAGGTGATGTAGACACACCAGGTAACTGTGTGAGTTTTTGTGATTGGTCAGTTGTCAGATTAGAGAGGTGATATATATACACCAGGTAACTGTGTGAGTTTTTGTGATTGGTCAGCTGTCAGATTAGTGAGGTGATGTAGACACACCAGGTAACTGTGTGAGTTTTTGTGATTGGTCAGTTGTCAGATTAGTGAGGTGATGTAGACACACCAGGTAACTGTGTGAGTTTTTGTGATTGGTCAGTTGTCAGATTAGTGAGGTGATATATACACACCAGGTAACTGTGTGAGTTTTTGTGATTGATATATATCAGGTAAGTGTGTCAGTTTTTGTGATTAGAGAGGTGATATATATACACCAGGTAACTGTGTGAGTTTTTGTGATTGGTCAGTTGTCAGATTAGTGAGGTGATATATATACACCAGGTAACTGTGTGAGTTTTTGTGATTGGTCAGTTGTCAGATTAGTGAGGTGATGTAGACACACCAGGTAACTGTGTGAGTTTTTGTGATTGGTCAGTTGTCAGATTAGTGAGGTGATGTAGACACGCCAGGTAACTGTGTGAGTTTTTGTGATTGGTCAGTTGTCAGATTAGTGAGGTGATGTAGACACACCAGGTAACTGTGTGAGTTTTTGTGATTGGTCAGTTGTCAGATTAGTGAGGTGAAACCATAATATGATTAACAATGTTGAATTATTTAAAATACAGAAACTGGAGTAGAGGCCCAGTTTGATTTTGTCAAACTTTGTATGATATACTTCTTGGTAAAAACCACAATGGCTTCCTGCCTATAAAGGCCATCTATCTGTAACGGCCACCTGCCTATAAAAACAACCTGTCTATGAAGGCTTCCTGTTTATAACAGTCACCTGTCTATAAAGACCATCTATCTATAAAGGCAACCTATCTGTAATAGCCACCTGCCTATAAAAACAACCTGTCTATGAAGGCTTCCTGTTTATAACAGTCACCTGTCTATAAAGACCATCTATCTATAAAGGCAACCTATCTGTAATAGCCACCTGCCTATAAAAACAACCTGTCTGCGAAGGCTGCCTGTCATAACAGCCACCTGTCTATAAAGACCATCTATCTATAAAGGCAACCTATCTGTAATAGCCACCTGCCTAGAAAAACAACCTATGAAGGCTGCCTGTCCATAACAGCCACCTGCCAATAAAGACCATCTATATATTAAAGCTACCTCTGTATACAAAAGACTTCCTGTCTAGAACAACCACCTGCCTATAACAGCCACTTGCGTACAAAGACCATCTATCTATAAAGACCACTTATCTTTAAAGGCTATCTATCTATAACAGCCCCTACCAATAACAACCATCCATATGTTAAGGCTACCTGTCTATAACAGCCACCTGCCTATAAAGACCATATCAATTAAGACCACCGATTTTTAAAGGCTACCTTCTAAAAGGGCCTCCTGTCTATAAAAAACACTTGCCTATAAAAGCCTTTTAAGGCTGCTCATAATAATTATTTTGTTTACAGGTGTGGATCGCTGTGTACTATTGTGGGACATTTCAAGTGGAAGTTTATTAGCCAACATGAAAGGACACACAGACACTGTATACAGTCTGGCATTTAGTCGTGACGGGGCAGCACTGGCATCAGGTATTTACTTGTGACAGGCAAAGTTGGCATTAGCTATTTAGTAGTGAGGGGGCAACATTGACATCAAGTATTTAGTAGTGAGGGGCAACATTGATATCAGGTATTTAGTAGTGAGGGGGCAACATTGACATCAGGTATTTAGTAGTGAGGGGGGCAACATTGACATCAGGTATTTAGTAGTGAGGGGCAACATTGACATCAGGTATTTAGTAGTGAGGGACAACATTGACATCAGGTATTTAGTAGTGAGGGGGCAACATTGACATCAGGTATTTAGTAGTGAGGGGGCACATTGACATCAGCTATTTAGTAGTGAGGGGGCAACATTGACATCAGCTATTTAGTAGTGAGGGGGCAACATTGACATCAGGTATTTAGTAGTGAGGGGGCAACATTGACATCAGGTATTTCATAGTGAGGGGGCAACATTAACATCAGGTATTTAGTAGTGAGGGGGCAACATTGACATCAGGTATTTAGTAGTGAGGGGGCAACATTGACATCAGGTATTTCGTAGTGAGGGGGCAACATTGACATCAGGTATTTAGTAGTGAGGGACAACATTGACATCAGGTATTTAGTAGTGAGGGGGGCAACATTGACATCAGGTATTTAGTAGTGAGGGGGGCAACATTGACATCAGGTATTTAGAAGTGAGGGGGCAACATTAACATCAGGTATTTAGTAGTGAGGGGGGCAACATTGACATCAGGTATTTAGTAGTGAGGGGCAACATTGACATCAGGTATTTAGTAGTGAGGGGGGCAACATTGACATCAGGTATTTAGTAGTGAGGGGGCAACATTGACATCAGGTATTTAGTAGTGAGGGGGCAACATTGACATCAGGTATTTAGTAGTGAGGGGGCAACATTGACATCAGGTATTTAGTAGTGAGGGGGGCAACATTGACATCAGGTATTTAGTAGTGAGGGGCAACATTGACATCAGGTATTTAGTAGTGAGGGGGGCAACATTGACATCAGGTATTTAGTAGTGAGGGTGCAACATTGACATCAGGTATTTAGTAGTGAGGGGGCAACATTGACATCAGGTATTTAGTAGTGAGGGGGCAACATTGACATCAGGTATTTAGTAGTGAGGGGGCAACATTGACATCAGGTATTTAGTAGTGAGGGGGCAACATTGACATCAGGTATTTCGTAGTGAGGGGGGCAACATTGACATCAGGTATTTACTAGTGATGGGACAGGGCATTGAGATATACATGGTATTAAAAAGATGTGGGGTATTGAGTCGTACAGGGTATTGAGCAATACAGGGTATTGAGGGGGTGTGTATCCTGCATATTTATGAATGTGGGGTATTGAGAAATGTGATTCATTGACTACCAAACAGTTTAAGGAATCTGAATATAGATTTAAACAAGGACTATTGTGTTATTGAATTATTCGAACAGTAGATTTGACTTGATAAGGTATTGCATCTGTAATTGTTGTTTTTGTCTTATAGGTGGTTTGGATAATCACGTCAAGCTGTGGGATATCCACAGAGTATTACAGGAAGTCGATATAGAGGCCGACCTCAGTATCCCAAGCTCCTTTACTGTGTAAGTAGGTCACAAGAAGTAGATACAGAGGCTGACCTCAGTATCCCAAGCTCCTTTACTGTGTAAGAATGCCACAGGAAGTAGATATGGAGACTGACATCAGTATCCCAAGCTCCTTTATTGTGTAAGTAGGTCACAGGAAGTAGATATGGAGACTGACATCAGTATCCCAAGCTCCTTTACTGTGTAAGTAGGTCACAGGAAGTAGATATAGAGGCTGACCACAGTATCCCAAGCTCCTTTACTGTGTAAGTAGGTCACAGGAAGTAGATATAGAGACTGACATCAGTATCCCAAGCCCCTTTACTGTGTAAGTAGGTCACAGGAAGTAGATATAGAGGCTGACCACAGTATCCTAAGCTCCTTTACTGTGTAAGTAGGTCACAGGAAGTAGATACAGAGGCTGACCTCAGTATCCCAAGCTCCTTTACTGTGTAAGTAGGTCACAGGAAGTAGATACAGAGGCTGACCTCAGTATCCCAAGCTCCTTTACTGTGTAAGTAGGTCACAGGAAGTAGATATGGAGACTGACATCAGTATCCCAAGCCCCTTTACTGTGTAAGTAGGTCACAGGAAGTAGATACAGAGGCTGACCTCAGTATCCCAAGCTCCTTTACTGTGTAAGTAAGTCACAGGAAGTAGATACAGAGGCTGACCTCAGTATCCTTTACTGTGATTTTGTTAGATGTACAACTGCTACATATATATCTACATATTGACATTATCCACAGTATTTGGTATATTTTGCTTTATGACATGCTACAGATATGTTCCTATTGAAGTCTTGTCAAATTTTGTGCATCAAACTTATTATTTAGAGAAAATTAAAAAAATGACTGACTTGTTGTTCAACACATCGGTAAACTTTTACCCCTTGGAACCCATAAATGACTTATTCTCAAGAACTATGGAACAGATTTTCACAAAACTTAGCTGGCAAGGTCTTGGCAGAAGGTAGTCAAATTTGTTGAAGAACTAAATCCATTCCTTTGGTGACCGGTAGACAGGGTCGAAAACTGGATAGTTATGTCACTAAAAATCTTCTCATAAAGCACCTTAAGGGATATGTTGTACATTTATGATACTCCCCAAAGCATATAGTCATTGCTTTGTTTGTCCGTTCGTCCATCCCTCATATTTTTTTCCGCAGCATAACACAAAAACTAAAAGAGTTGTCAACATGAACTTCAGGTAGATAGATATAATAAGGAGAAGTGCACAGGAACCATCACTCTCTTTTACACAAGTTAGGAGTTATTGCCCTTTATTATTAGGTCACAAAAGCCTCATGGTGACCTATTCTAATTACCTTCATTTGGTGATTTTGTGAAATTTTTGCAGTAACCTTTCCTGACGGGAGATGAAACAAAATTGTGAATTATACAGTCCCCACCCTCCAGGGGCGGGGGTCAAATTGATTCGGATTACAAAAATCTTCTTCTCTAGACCCAGACATGGTAGAATTAAATACTCTTCATGAATGGAAGCATCGTAAGGTGCTTTACCAAACATGTTAATTTCATGACCAAATGGTCTCACATTTCCCCATTGGGAGGTTGTAAAGTTCACTAAAGGTTATATAGGAAAACTAGATTTTTAAACATAATTTGATTTCCATTGGAAATATTTCAAACTTGGTTAGAATTATAAGTGAAGAGCGACTGCCTGATGGTATGCACATTTTGGTCTATTACTGACCCAAGAGCTGATGGGCAAGGCCAAAAGGGGTCAAATTGATTTCAAATGGAATAATTTTCTTTTCAACACCCTGATACCATAAAATCAAATGCTCTGCATGGACGGAAGCAATTTAAGGCGTTTTATCAAAATAGTCAATTTTATGGCTCCAAGGTCTCCCATTATTATTATTATTACTATAGTTTATATAGGAAAACTAGATTTTTGAGCATAATTTGTTTAATTTCATTGGAAATATTTCAAACTTGGTTAGAATTTTGAGTGAAGATGACAGCGTAATGTTATGCCCATATTGATCCTGGCTGACCTCCAGAGACTGATGGGTGGGGCCAAAAGGGGTCAAACTGATTTAAATTTCAAAAATGCCAATATTGATCCTGACTGACCTCCAGGGACTGATGGGTGGGGCCAAAAGGGGTCAAACTGATTTAAATTTCAAAAATGCCAATATTGATCCTGACTGACCTCCAGGGACTGATGGGTGGGGCCAAAAGGGGTCAAATTGATTTAAATTTCAAAACTCTTCTTCTCATGAATGGAAGCATCTTAGGTGCTTTGATTACCAAAATGAGTCGCACATTTATTCCTGGGGAGGAGTACATTTTTTACTTTACTGTAATTTTTATAGAAAATTAGCACTTTTGAGCATAACATTGCTTATTTCCCGCTGGATATAACTTTATAAGAATTATTAGCATAGATTGACAGTTAGCCTCTGGGTCGAAAATTGGATGAAGGCTAGAGGTCAAATTCAAGAATAGTCATGTTACAGGGTTAACATTTAATCTTTTTACATCTACACTATAACTATTTACAAAAATGTATATCTGAATGCTCAGGATAAATAGATCAGTAAATAGTACCCTGTAATGGAAACAGTCACAATCCCCACCCTATAAAACGATATATCCCCTCGCTGGACATGAAGAGACAATGAAAGTCATGCTACCGGAATTAGACCATGGGTCAGTTCCTGCCCCAGAACACCGAGGTTCATGGATTTGACAAATTACGAGAAATTAATACCACAATGATATTAATCTTGACTATCCAGAGACTCATGTTAATTCTAAGAGTTGTTGATATATTTTTTAAAATCTCTAATTAATAGAACGATGTATAATATCTGTTTAACCTGTACGTTAATGAAACCAAAAACTTTGTTCTTTTATTTTTCCCAGGAATGAGAACCCCAATCTACTTTTTGGAACATTTCCTACTAAGTCCACTCCAGTTCTAGCTGTCCACTTTACCCGAAGGAACTTGTTACTAGCCAGTGGCCCGCTACAGACTTGAATGGTCTCAGAACTTCAAGGTTGAGATATAGAGGTCACGATCAAGTCAAATATGAACCACTCTAAAGTTCAAGGTCAAGAGGCACTCGCAATATTTGGGAGGTCAAGGTCATCATGAGACCACATCCTTGTAGAGGAAAGGATTATCTTTTGACAAAGGGATTTTCTGATCGGGGACGAGTTCAGATTCTTAACTGAGATTTTATCTTGAAGTAGAGGATGGATTCGACTCACTCTTTCGGGCATTACAAAGAGACAATGAGATCTGATCGGAGGTCTGCTCCCTACCTGATGATATTGAGTGTCACACACATAGGAATAATCACCATTTGTAAAGCATTATACTTCTGCTCAGAATCTGTACCGGTATTTAAAACTGATGATCAGTCAAAGTGTCACAAGAGCTGACCTTTTTATCACTCATTGTTATTGTCATGATTATAACAATAGGCAATGGAAGCTGGACCACAAATCACACATTGTTATTGTCATGATTATAACAATAGGCAATGGAAGCTGGACCACAAATCACACATTGTTATTGTCATGATTATAACAATAGGCAATGGAAGCTGGACCACAAATCACTCATTGTTATTGTCATGATTATAACAATAGGCAATGGAAGCTGGACCACAAATCACTCATTGTTATTGTCATGATTATAACAATAGGCAATGGAAGCTGGACCACAAATCACTCATTGTTATTGTCATGATTATAACAATAGGCAATGGAAGCTGGACCACAAATCACTCATTGTTATTGTCATGATTATAACAATAGGCAATGGAAGCTGGACCACAAATCACTCATTGTTATTGTCATGATTATAACAATAGGCAATGGAAGCTGGACCACAAATCACTCATTGTTATTGTCATGATTATAACAATAGGCAATGGAAGCTGGACCACAAATCACTCATTGTTATTGTCATGATTATAACAATAGGCAATGGAAGCTGGACCACAAATCACACATTGTTTTCTGCCTGATTACATGTAAAATACAAAATCAAATAAAAACTTTCAAAAAAGTTGTTTTGACTTATGCAACCCTCATCAATATGACAACCACGACAAACATTTAGGATCTCACTTGGGCATTTGAAGCTTTGGTTTTAAAAAGATTTATAAGGAAAGTAAAGCTTGATTGACACAAAATATGAGATAATCGAATAATTGAAATTATAAAATCTTAGATCAAAGTTGATTTGCTATTCATTATACATTTTCAGCTTCACCAATGTTTTTAAAAATGCTTCTGACATCATACATCACATGGTCCATGGTACTCCCCTCATACATCACATGGTCCATCGTCATACATCACATGGTCCATCGTCATACATCATATGGTCCATGATACTTGTGTCATACATTGCATGGTCCATTGTCATACTTCACATGGTCCATGATACTTGTGTCATACATTGCATGGTCCATTGTCATACTTCACATGGCCCATGATACTTGTGTCATACATTGCATGGTCCATTGTCATACTTCACATGGCCCATGATACTTGTGTCATACATTGCATGGTCCATTGTCATACTTCACATGGTCCATGATACTTGTGTCATACATCACATGGTCCATCGTCATACATCACATGGTCCATCGTCATACATCACATGGTCCATGATACTCCTGTCATACATCACATGGTCCATGATACTCCTGTCATACATCACATGGTCCATGATACTCCTGTCATACATCACATGGTCCATGATACTCCTGTCATACATCACATGGTCCATGATACTCCTGTCATACATCACATGGTCCATGATACTCCTGTCATACATCACATGGTCCATGATACTCCTGTCATACATCACATGGTCCATGATACTCCTGTCATACATCACATGGTCCATGATACTCCTGTCATACATCACATGGTCCTGTCACAAAGAAACAGGAGAGACAAACACACATTACATGTCACAAAGAAACAGCAGAGACAAACACACATTACATGTCACAAAGAAACAGCAGAGACAAACACACATTACATGTCACAAAGATACAGGAGAGACAAACACACATTACATGTCACAAAGATACAGGATAGACAAACACACATTACATGTCACAAAGATACAGGAGAGACAAACACACATTACATGTCCCAAAGAAACAGCAGAGACAAACACACATTACATGTCACAAAGATACAGGAGAGACAAACACACATTACATGTCACAAAGAAACAGCAGAGACAAACACACATTACATGTCACAAAGAAACAGCAGAGACAAACACACATTACATGTCACAAAGATACAGGAGAGACAAACACACATTACATGTCCCAAAGAAACAGCAGAGACAAACACACATTACATGTCACAAAGAATCAGCAGAGACAAACACATTACATGTCACAAAGAAACAGCAGAGACAAACACACATTACATGTCACAAAGAAACAGCAGAGACAAACACACATTACATGTCACAAAGAAACAGCAGAGACAAACACACATTACATGTCACAAAGAAACAGGAGAGACAAACACACTATTACATGCCATATGACCTCTACTCTCACAAATAACAGAGATGAAATAATTGTTTCCTACACAATATTTGAATCGGCAGCGACGAAGTCCACTTGTAACTATTGAGATGATTAAAACAATGATAATTACTATAAAGGCTGCAAATATGAATGTATTTGGCATCGGTTTTAGCATTGATAGCAGAAACGAATGAAACTCAATAGTTTTCCATAACGCTTGTACGTCTGTTTGGTTGTCTTCTCGTGCGTCTGCCCGCGTTTTTGGTTTCTGTACAAATATCTCAAATTCTTATAGACCTATGACACTCATACTTTATGCCAAGCCTCCTTGAAGGAAGTATTGCTTGGTGTATGAAAGGTCAATGTTGCTGTATATTGATAGTAAGAAATGGACATGTATCGACTTTCCTTCCATTGACCACATTTAACCTCGAACAGCAATAAAACAACGGCATGTTCACAAAATCTCAATTCAGAGTAAAAGTCGAAAACATGTGTAAAACATGAAGGTTCATACGGAGACTGCTGAAAAATGAAAACGTGTGTAAAACATGAAGGTTCATACGGAGACTGCTGAAAAATGAAAACATGTGTAAAACATGAAGGTTCATACGGAGACTGCTGAAAAATGAAAACATGTGTAAAACATGAAGGTTCATACGGAGACTGCTGAAAAATGAAAACATGTGTAAAACATGAAGGTTCATACGGAGACTGCTGAAAATGAAAACATGTGTAAAACATGAGGTTCATACGGAGACTGCTGAAAAATGAAAACGTGTGTAAAACATGAAGGTTCATACGGAGACTGCTGAAAAATGAAAACGTGTAAAACATGAAGGTTCATACGGAGACTGCTGAAAATGAAAACGTGTGTAAAACATGAAGGTTCATACGGAGACTGCTGAAAATGAAAACGTGTGTAAAACATGAAGGTTCATACGGAGACTGCTGAAAAATGAAAACATGTGTAAAACATGAAGGTTCATACGGAGACTGCTGAAAAATGAAAACGTGTGTAAAACATGGAGGTTCATACGGAGACTGCTGAAAAATGAAAACGTGTGTAAAACATGAAGGTTCATACGGAGACTGCTGAAAAATGAAAACATGTGTTCTGGAAGGGTAAGCGTCTTCTGCTTCAAAAATACCCGCCATCATCCGACGAATGTCCTGTTCTCAAATGATTCAAATTTATAACAATGAAACCACGTACTTAAATGAAATTCAAAGAAAGGCTGTTTGTGTCATTATTTCGATTAGTTGTTGGTGTTAATAATGAAAACGAAAGCATATGCAGCTAAATGGTTGTGGGTTCCTACAAACACACAAAATGACAAATCCAGATATCTTTCACAATATCTATATTTGTTATTACAATGTTATAGAAATATATAATGTGTATTTAACAATACATTTTCTGCAATGATGAACAGCAAAGATGTCAATCGTTTTGATGGTCTGATCTCGGACTGATGGAACTTTGCTGATGTAGATCAGCGGTGAGATTATCTTAAATGTTGACCTTACTGTTCAGAACGTTACGGATGACATTTTTAGTTCAAACTATGCCGAACAATAAACTGGCATAGAGGTGTGTCGTCTATATCTGAAATGATTTACTGGCCGTAGTTCAAAATACAAAGTGTAGTTTTATTTCCCAGGACATAATGTATCCAATATCAATTTGGAAACTGATGTCGACCGTGACTTTATACACCGTCACGGTTCAGTGACCGCATGTTAAAAATCGAATTAATGTGATAACGTGATTAATTAGTACTTACAGAAATTGGTACAAAAGACACAGAAGTGAAAAGTGCCTTCAAATACTAATTAAGCATTAGATACCACATCTAGGAATGAACTTATTCAACTACACGACGCAGCTGCATCGTCCTTCTGGAACTCGTCGGTAATGCTACATCATACAACTATTTCGTCCTTGTAGGACTCGTCAGTAATGTTACATCATACAGCTGTTTCGTCCCTCTAGGACTCGTCCGTGATGCTACATCATACAGCTTTTTTTTCTTCTTGGACTCGTCCGTGCTACTACATCACATAGCTATTCCGACCTTCTAGAACTCGTCAGTGATACTACATCATACAGCTGTTTCGTCCTTCTAGGACTCGTCAGTGATGCTGCATTATACAGCTGTTTCTTCCCTCTAGGATTCGTCAGTGATGTTACATCATACAGCAGTTTCGGCATTCTAGAACTCGTCAATGATGCTACATCATACAGCTGATTCGTCCTTCTAGACCTCGTCAGTGATGCTACATCATACAGATGTTTCGTCCTTCTAGAACTCGTCAGTGATGCTACATCATACAGCTTTTTCATCCCTCTAGGACCCGTCAGTGATGCTACATCGTACAGCTGTTTCATCCCTCTAGGACCCGTCAGTGATGCTACATCATACCGGAGTTTCGTCCTTCTAGGACCCGTCAGTGTTGCTACATCATACAGCTGTTTCGTCCTTCTAGGACTCGTCAGTGATGCTACATCATACAGCTGTTTCGTCCTTCTAGGACCCGTCAGTGTTGCTACATCATACAGCTGTTTCGTCCTTCTAGGACTCGTCAGTGATGCTACATCATACAGCTGTTTCGTCCTTCTAGAACTCGTCAGTGATGCTACATCATACAGCTGTTTCAGTAATTGATAATGGTTAACACTGTACGTGTCTAATCACTGATTTTGTGACGTGTTATTTCCGGGTTAAGGCTTCTATAACTTGTTATAACATGTTTCCAATCTTACAGTGTATTTGATACAGTAGCATATGTTTAAAACTAAAGAAAGTTTGTTTTATTTATTTGATTAAGCCAATTTCGTGTTGTTATAATTGTTAAACTGTAAGTGCGGAAAATAAATGCCCGCTAAATCGAAATGATGTTCAGTAAATAGGATATGTTGAAGTACCAAGAGTTCGACCATGGTATTTTCCACGGTAGGTAGGGCTTAATTATGTTTACGTATGTTCGATATGAATTGTTGTTGTCCATGTTTGTACATGGTGTGTTTGGATAACTATACGTTATCATAAAAACTATTGACAATTGTATCTTATATATCATTAATGTTTCCTTTGTTAAACACTCTAAAG